GTAGGGATCCTTGTTGGCTGGATGTCGTAATGGGATGCACACCATCTAGGACACGGAGTCTGCGGACGATTTAGGCTAGTTTAGGCAAAAGAAGGGCACTCACAATGCACCAGGATGGCTTTTCCATGTACTGCTTGTCGACCCTGCCTATTTGAATAGCACAAATAATAATTCTCAATAACAAATAAGTAGCATCATTAAAAAGAAAGTTTATTGTCTGCACCACCTAGCAGGTTGCTGTACACAAGATATTACAGTGAATCTCGGCTGCAGAACTCCGTGCTGGAAGAACGCTAGCGCAGGGAATATCAGGAGATGCTAGCGCCCTCTTAATTTAAACTGACGTGGCTACGGTGTCCTTTTCTGGCAAGACTACTGCCTATGCTTAATCAAGGAGAGAATAGGCAGCTGATCATAAGCAATCAGCTTCCATCAGACAGTGATCCTTGGGCCCTTTATGCGGAGAGAAGGCTTGCTGAAGTCAGACACATCTAGTTCAGCAGACAAGTCTTGGTTTTCCTGTCATCCGTCAACTACTATGTTGTACAATAATGACATCCGGCAATAAATTTCGTGGACGGAGTTGTACATGTCCTAGACTGTACTGCAAGGGAAATGCTACTGACTGATTCCTAGACGATGCTCGGCAGTTCGGGTCGACAGATGAAGCTTGACAAGATCAGCAACCATTTGTCGCCAATGACGATCATTGCATGCATGTCATGTTTCAAACTTACAAGCGCCGACATTCGATGCACCAAGATAGCTATTGCAAATAAGAACATTGCCTTATAATGCATGGTCACATACATTAATCACATCAATCATTTCCAGAGGCAATTCCACAACTGCAGATATGACTGGAGGAGATCGTTCGTATCCATATTTCGACTGTCTGGCGTGCTCTCCCCTTTCTGCCGGTCATTCGGATATACTTTTGAATAGAATGGGTTTAATCTAAGTCGTCCTTAGAATCGGTCAAAGTCCAAAAACCTAACACTCTCAATGGGGAGATATGACTTCAATCATAGCCATGACAATTCTCTTACCAGCGACCTTAGCACATATCTAGCACTATCAAAATGGACAGGAAAAGAGCTCTACTGATTACAATAATAATGTTCAGGTTTCCTTTGAGCTCGAACAGGCCCCTTGTTCCCAAGTGGCATGGGCAGCAAAGGCCCATCCCATTCAGACGCAGGAAGAGGAAGTGTACTAGAATCAACACTCCCCGGAACCACTGACCCAATGATTCATGCCATGCGGATTACGGATTGATTCATGGCATTTGCGAAGGTTCTGTCACTCAACGGAGCTGATGCCACAGAGGTCAGTGAGAAGGAATCATCCATCACAGACAGACAATTACCCTCACCATGCTCTCTTATCAACATGAGGCTGGATTCCCTGACACTGTTTAACAATTGTGGCATATATACCCAGACAATGACCATTACTGATAAGTCAATGAATCGCGCAAGGTCATTTGGTGGTTGATACTCCTAGATGCTCAACCAGATATTGCAGTCCTACTCTTTGAGCGCGATGTTCAACCTTGGAAGATTCAGAAAGAAAATTTAAATCCTTTCTGGTCGTCTGACAGATGTTTTTTTATATCCTCCTCTAGTGCAAAAGAAAGAGCAACGGTCTTATCCGACCGCGGCGCATCTATATTAGCAGTCTTTTGATTATGCACACTTTGCCACGATGTAGATGTAAAGAAGTCAGATTAAGATAGTCGAAACTACATATCCTATCGGGACTACCGCAAATCGAGATCCAACCCATCCAATCCGCAAAATATGTGGATCTGGGCTGGCCCTGATCCAACACGCAGCCAAATCGGCTAATGGGCTTAACTTGCATAGATATAGAGAAGCTTATCCATTCATACCTAGGCCTAGATAGGTATATTCTTATATATGAAATGAAATAATAGATTTACTAAAAGAAGCTAGAGTTATGGTAGATTTTAGATTTTAGAAGATGGTGATTAGGATGGTGGTGATAAGACTTATATATATCTCTGCACCACTTTTCATCCTCAGCTTAGGTGGTCCCTAATAAACGTATTTTAGCTTATCTAATGGTGATATATATTATTTACATAATTGATTATTATACTACTCAGCAGAATCTATAGATACTTTAGCGGTTCAGGTATAATACTAGAAAAAGGTGTTAAATGGAATCCTACATTGTAGATATCCATTATCCGCAGTCCAACCGCATGGATAAGAGGGGTTTTAGGCGGTGTTCAACCCATACCCAATCCACAAGTAGTCTGTCCAGAAAAACAGTCAGCCATCAACAAATGCTCAACAGGGGAATTCCCCTGAATCTCCCGTTGGATCTTTTCGTGTTTTGCCAGGTTGAGCCTAGTGGAAGCCTAATCTCGATCGATCATAGTAGAGTTCCACTCATTCATAAGGACAGACTGTGATTGGTCAGTCATCGGGAGACAGTGATGGCTAAAAAGGGTCTTTTATTCGTTTTAATCCTTTCAAATGCTTTTCCAATCATCTCCTTAGTCAGTAGGAAAGGGCTCCGTCTTCAGGGGAAACTCGGGAAAATCTAGATCAGACCACGAATTGGTACCTGTTGACCGGGCCACGTGATGTCATTGCCAGGGGAATGTCCATCGTTACATCGGGACTTCCAGAATGAAATGTGATGATGTCAATGACATGAGAGATTATTTATCTCGATCCATTACCATCAAATCAGGATTAATGATTTCTGTATCTGATCTTGAATTGGTGCTGACTCGACATACGATACATGCGTAGAGCTCTTGGCGTAGGCTGACGTGTTTCCCTCGTTCACTCTCTTCTCTACTTTACGCCGTACAGTCTGTCGAGTATTATCCTGCAGACTTTCCAGTCAAGCTCACTTGCTCTGCGCTTCCTTCATCAATAGTAATCCACAGATATTAATAGAGCAAAGCTCTGCCTGATAAGCTCAATCCGTGCTCGATCAGCGCTCAATGGCCTCTGTCAGCAAGACCCACTCCGTCTCCTTTTCACTTTCTCCGAAAATTGCTATCCGTGTTCTCTTCGGTGAAGTCAAAAGAGCCAAGTCTTCCTTTCTACAAACCACAACCCAATCCTAAATCATACCGAGCGTCGCCGGTCAACGGTCAACGGGTCACGATGGAACCCGACAGCTATGTTGACCCGAATCTGACTCGGTCGGACCTCCTGGTTTTGCAGACCCTGCTCTCGGACATTCAGGCACAATCGTCCGGCTCGAAACCCGTCGTTCAAGGTAGACATTCCCTTCCCATGTTCGAATTCTGATCCGCTGAGACCCTCAAATATGTCCCATCGCAAAACAGCTCGCAGTACAAATCTGTCACTGAGCAACTGGAAGCCTTCAACAATCCTCAGCATGTCGATTTTGAGCCTACCGTCACCGTGACCTGGGACACTGCTGAACTCAAGGCCAAACTCCCGTCTGCGGTTAACCATTGGCTCCTCCAGCCATACATTCAGCTGGGACGAAGAGTTGTCCGGGTGGAAACTGACGTGGTGATGCTCACGCATCTCATCCTGTACTTTACCACGTCCGTCCCCAGTGCACTTTACCTGTACTATCATTTCACCTGGGTCCATGGCGTCCTTCACTGGATCATGCAGTCGTACTACGTGGGATCTTACACCCTCATGATGCACCAGCACATCCACATGGGCGGAATCCTCGCCAAGCAATTCTGGCTCTTTGACTCGCTCTTCCCCTACATCACCAACCCTCTCATGGGACATACGTGGAACTCGTACTACTATCATCACGTCAAGCATCATCACGTCGAAGGGAATGGACCCGGTGATTTGTCCTCGACAGTCAGGTACCAACGGGACGAGTTGTACGACTTCCTGTGCTATGTCGGCCGATTTCTGTTCCTCGTGTGGTTTGAGCTTCCAAGCTACTTCTTCCGAAAAGGCCAGTTCCTCCAAGGTCTCAAGGCGGGTTCCTGGGAGATAGGAAACTATCTCTTCATCTACGGGATGTATCGCTTCGTGAATTCTCGAGCAACGCTCTTCGTCTTCATCCTTCCCTTGTTTCTCCTCCGATTGGGCTTGATGATCGGCAACTGGGGGCAGCACGCCTTTGTTGACGAGACAGACCCCAACTCGGATTTTAGGTCTAGTATCACCCTCATTGATGTTCCGGTACGATTCCTGCGTCGCTTCTGACTACCGCCGCTAACAATAGCAGAGTAACCGTTTCTGCTTCAATGATGGCTACCACACGTCTCACCATCTCAATCCCCGCCGTCACTGGCGCGAGCACCCGGTGGCGTTTCTCAAGCAAAAGGACCGCTATGCAAGCGAGCATGCGCTGGTCTTCCGCAATATCGACTATCTCATGATCACCTACCGGCTTATCCGGAAGGACTATACGCATCTGGCTAAGTGTCTCGTTCCTATGGGCGAGCAGATTTCCATGTCGATCGAGGAGAGAGCTGCCATGCTGCAGACTAAGACGAGAAAGTTTACCGAGGCGGAAATTGCGAGGAAATTTGGGGTGAGTCGGTAGACATCTTACCCGGTCGGTCGCGATCACAGCACCAGCACCAGTCTGTATATGATGGGTTCCTCGGAACAATCGTGTATATATTTTAATTCTCAGGTCCTTACCTACATATTATCTTTAGATAGACTTAGCACGATATTCAAGGAACTGTACATGTCAAACCAGCGAGACAACAAAATAGTTCGATTGCCGTAGCGATTGACTTGTCCATGTCGATCCCTAGTCTCTACGTCTAAGAATGATGTGTTCGGTAACTGCGACTGATATACTACGGTAAATGCGGTTGTATTAACACTGACGATGTTTTTGGCAGTCTAGATGAAATATAAATCCGAAATCCAATCTATTTTCCTCTGTAGTGCATGAGTCTCTTCCACTGGCCACGTACGCACAACGGACGTGGACATGCATATCCGTCACTTCACACACCGTACAGAATAGCTCAGCCAGACATCCCGACTTCCTCACTCCGAAGGGGAATCTTCCTCCTCCTTGACTGGCGCAGGTGCCTGCTGCATCTGCATCCGCCTCATCATCTCCGCAGCCTCGAACGCATACTTGCATTTCATCCGCAGCGCCCCACCGTAGCGATACATGACGAACGGGAACGGCATGCAAGCCAACGTCAAAAAGGCCGGTAGTGAGCTCGCCCAGTGAATCCCAAGMTTGTCATACATCTGGGTAGTAAACAAGGGAAACACAGCCCCGACGATCGAGCGGAAAATAGCGGCAGCTGCAAGAACAGACGCCGCGTAGATGGTGTACGCGTCAATCAGGTAGTTGACGATCGGCAGGATGACAAGGACGCAGCCGAAGCCGAAGGGTGCAGAGAGGACCATGCTGACGGACCAGTGGATGTGGGGGTAATTGGTCCAGGCGAAGGCGAACATGCCGACTGGTAGGGCCACAGCGCCGACGATGGCGGGTGGGAGTCGAGATTCGGCAGTTGCTGATTTGGACAACAAGAGCTTTGTGTAACGGTTGTTGTTGTCGTGGATGGCGTAGAGTAATCCGATGATAATGCCAACGGCGATACCCATGAAGGCGAGCCCGCCGATGCCCTCGCTCCAGCCGCGTTGTTCGTTATACACGATGGGCATGGCGCTCATGAACATGTAGACCGTGCCGTAGATAATGGCCATGTAGAGCGAGGCAACCAGCACGATGGGCTCGCGGAAGAGCAGAACCCAAGGCCGAATGAGCGCTCGCTGGAAGACCTCCGACGGCTTCTTCTTGCCTTGGTTCTTTTCGAGGACGCTGATGTAAACCTTACCGTGGGCTTTGGAGAGCTGGTTTGCCCTCCTGATCAGTAATACCGGCCCATAAGTTTCAGGCACAAAGATGACGCCGATGATACCAATCACGCCGATAAAGATGCAGCACACCCCCTGGACCCATCTCCATCCAACGTTTTCAGAGACGAACCCGCCAACGATAGGACCAAGGATGGGACCGAGGAACGGCGCGACACAGTACAGTGTCATCGCGAGGCCTCTCTGAGCCGGGGGGAAGAGATCTGCAATGGCACCGCCCGAGTTGACTAACGGTGAGCCTCCAAAGGTGCCGCTGAAGAATCGCAACACCAGGAGGGTGGCGACGTTTCGACTTCCAGCGGAACCTCCAATGAAGCCCACCATGGCAACGTGGGAGACGATCCAGAGAGCTTGTCTTCCGTATAGTTCAGATCTACAAGGCACGGTTAGGTTCAAGGCGTCTGCGTATGGTTGATTAAAGACTTACTAAAAGAACGGAGTGTCAGCTGGTGTATTACGGCGTCAAATAGAGGAGGAGCTTACCAAGGGGCCCCATACTGCTGGGCCAATTGCAAACCCAAGAACAAAGAGGGACAGACCAACTGTAAACACTTCTGTGCTGATGTCGAAGTCTGGAATGAGCTCATTTGCGGAAGCAGAGTATGCGGAAGATGTAAAGGTGATGGCAAAGACAGAGAAGGTCACAATGGCGGTAATGAACCATTTCCTGAATTGAGACCAGTTCATAGGATTCCCTGGGTCATCTTTTTGGAATTCGACTATGAAGGGGTCTTCCTGGGTGCCTTGCCCATCAAAGTTATGGGTTTGCTGGACCTCAGGGTCTGCTGCGGCCTTGGATTCGGCTGGTTGAGACATGCTTCAACACTGGAGCGACCTAAGTCTGAGAGGAATCTCAGAAAAGAAACAAGTGATAATAAGTATGCAGCATGTCCGGATGGTAAATTGCTCTAGGCTTTAAGATTTATAGCTGATGTTGACAGTCTCAAAGAACATAGAGAGGCGGACCAGTGTTTGATTGGCTGTCACACTAGCACTATTCGATGCGCGGAAGTAAAGCTGACTGGCTGACATGCAGGAGATTCGCCTTAGCCAATTATATGTCTTTCCGCTATGGAGTCATGAGTGAGCGGAGCATAATATGATTGGGACGTGTCATATAATAATACCTTGACTAATGCGTGCTGTCTCCGTGTCGCCGGAGTGCGGACAATCTCCAACTCCCCTGCTTTTCTTTCATGTAAGCTTTAATACGTTATCTGTGTGGAGCGAGACCAACTGGCGAAGTGGTTGTATTGAATATGTCTCTAAATATGAGAAACCATCAAGACGTTTTATCGAAACCACTGCGCAGGGAGCGATTGAAAATCTCCATCGCTTGTCAGGCTTGTCGGTTGAGGAAGGCGAAATGCGATGGCGGTCATCCGGGTATTTTATGGCCCTATAACGTCCTCCTATAAGACTGACTGATAATATCATTTGCAGCCTGTGCTAGATGCGTGCGAAGAGGAAAGGCATGTACGTACAGCATTGATTCCAGCGCCGTCGAGCGACAAGCCAAGCGCAAAACCCCGGTCCCAAAAGCACTAACAAATCGCTGTCATATACCCATCCCAGCCTCGTCTGCGAACTTGGGAGCCTGCTCGCTTGCGACTCCGGTGACCCGTGGACCGCTCTCCAGATCAGTGCGTGCCGAGGAAGACCAAGAGCCGGAGCTCGATCAGGATCAAAACCGTGCGTACTACAGCACCCATGGACAGTTTGCTGGCGAAGTCGCAGCCGCCATCGATGTGAGAGCAGGGCTCGTCCCGGCCGCTACTTCAAACCTTGTCCCGTTCGTGGATGCGCCCTTGTTTGGAGTGTTAGACCTGCACTCTCCGTACAGCGTTCTCAACTCGGCCACGGAATTGCCTCCCCGCGCTTATGCTGATAGACTTGTGTGTATATATTGGCAGTACGTCGATCCCGTGGAGCCGGTCTTGAGTCGAGAACGCTTCTTACACGACTATGAGGCGACGTACTCTCAACCTGGTGCACTGCTCCACGCGGACCGAGACGTCTGGCTCAGCATACTCAATGTCGTCTTTGCCCTGGCAGTGCAGAGACAAGAATCCATCCTTCCGCAACAGCGTGACGAGGAGGGAAATCGCTTTTTCCAGCGCGCATGGGCGCTTCTCCGACCAGAGACAATTCTATGGAAGCCTGGAACGCTCGAGCTGGTCCAGTGTTTGATGCTTATGAATCGATACCTCCACTGCACCAGCAACCACCTAAAGACATGGATGACGGCGGGGTTGGCAATCCGCATTGCGCAGAGTATGTGTTGCCATCTCTCCATGGGGTCTTCGGCCAAGCATCCTTGCAACGACACGCAGTTGAAACAAAAGGTATGGGCTAGCTGTGTGGCTCTAGACCGGTAAGTCTACAGACATACAGAAAAAACTTTTTTCTTGGTCTCATCGCTCACTCCGCTAGATGCGTTTCGTGGTCACTCGGCCGGACATCGGCGCCGTCCTTGATCCCTTTACCGAACAGGACCGAGGCGATGTCTACAAGTCAGAGCTACCTACAGGGCGGTAGCCATGCAGAGCATCTTTCACGAGAGCTTCATGAAATTGGAAATCAAATTCAGTTGGCACAGACCCAGACTCGCAATGCTCTCGCTGCCAGGTTGGGACTACCACGTCTGTATCAACAGGACGACTACCACGCCGTGGCAGTGCAGCTAGACGCCTGCCTCAACAAATGGGAGAATGGTCTCCCTAGCGACTGGAAGTTGGAAAATCTCAACAACGTTATCGACAGGAATTCGCGAGCAGAGCGATATTTACTTCACCTTCGGTATGCCACTATTACACTGTTTGTTCGTTTCGAGGATCAGTCATGACTAGAGCAGCTCGGTCCTTGCATTTCTAACACCAGTCTAGACTCCTTCACTCCCGAATTGTCCTGTACAGACCCATGCTCGCACGTCTCTACTCTCTGAAAACCCACCCGTCAACCATGCCAGCACGACCCAATCCTCCAAGCCTTAGCGATCGGCTCCTCAGAGAATGCGCCGGAATGTGCGTGGAAACCGCGCAGAAGCTCACCTCGTTGATCATCGAGACCCTGGAGCCAAACGAACCAATGGGTCTCCTGCCCTGGTGGTATCGAATCTACTATCTACACATTGCAGGGACCAACTTTCTGGCGGCCATGTTCGAAGCGGACCTGTTTACCACATCGGCGTCGCAATCGTGGAAAGATGTTCTGTCGGCGCTCCGCGCGCATGACCACTTGAGCATGTATGTTCAACAGTGCATCCGGACCTTTGAAATGCTCGCGACAAGAATCTTGGAGACACAATGCCCCGGTCCAGATGGCACTGGTGATATGCCGCTTGAGGAGGAGACCTCGGGTTCCCTGTTCGATCATATCTTCCAGGATCTAGGGTTTGATTGCGATAGCTTTCTCTTTGGTATGGAGGATTTTACGGAGGGCCAGTGTTCTTAGTGCGCCACTATCTCTTCTTTCAGCTAGTTGGAGCTGAAAGGGACGAAAGGATGGGACTTCCGTGTGTTTTCGATGGTCCTGTTTCCTTACTACGTAGATTTTGTTTTGCTTTGCTCTGGTTGGTCTGCAGATTCCTTCTTGACAAAATCCAAGGAGACTGAGAGCGAGCTTCTTGTACGTGTAATGTAGGAATCGATAGGGGAAGGGCGATCTTGTTTAGCAAGTGCTACTAGGAGAAATTATTTGACTCGAGTAAATTCAAATTATACCTACTATGTTCAGGATTTGGCGTGTGTTGCAATCTGTCTCTTGTCTTCTCCTGAGTAGAACTGTATGCTCAAGGGAAACCTCTCTGACAAAAATATAACGTTCCAATATTGACGAGAAACATCTAACTCTACCAAGGTATCGCCAACCTCATGACGCCGCAGCAAATTTCACATGCTTACTACGATCCACCACATCGGCCGCGAGCATGGCCAGACTAGGACTCTGCATAATATTGAAAATAGACAGCTCGGCACCGGCCTGGCTGAAGAGCATATTGCGCACCTCAACCGCCACGAGGGAGTCAACTCCCTGCTGCGAGGGAGACTCACTCAGGTCAATATCCTCGACGGGGACCAGGAACATATCAGCCAGCATCTCGGCCAAGGCGGACCCGACCGCGCGAATAGCCTCGTCGCGCGATGCACACACGGCCATCCTGGCAGCCAGAGGGTCGCTACCATTTTGCTGCCCTTGTTCCTCCTGCGCGGCTGCGGAAGGCTGTCGGTACCTGAGCGGGAGCACGCGCATGTCGCGGCCGAGGTCACCGTCAAGCTCCCAGTGCGGGCCAGGGCCCGAGTTAATGCCACCCACGACAAACTGGGGGTCGTACGGCGACAAAATGGCCGACTCGAGCGAGGCGAGCACGTGGTCTTCGTCGATGACCCTGCGTCCCGCCTTGAGGAGGGACTTGCGTAGGGTCTCGGATGCGTTCGCCTCGGCGACGTAGCCGACGGCGTTGACGACTGAGAGGTCGATGGAGACACCGGGAAGGCCGCAGTGCTTGACGCGCCAGTGGGCTAGGGCGTCTTCGTACGCGCCGGCTGCTGAGTACGCTGCTTGGCTGGCGTAGCCGAGGATTCCGTTGATTGACGAGAACAGGACGAAAAAGTCGAGATCGCCGGGCAGGTTGAATTGATTGTGCAGGTTCCAGCACCCTGCGACTTTGCTCTGTGTGGTGTACCTGTAGTCGTCGAGGGTCATCTTCTCGACGAAAGAGTCCTGCGAGCAAACAAATCATGTTAGCCTGCAACGAAAATATCCGCTGGGGTGATGGGCGATCACTCACATGGAGAACGAAGGCAGCGTGAATGACGCCCCGAATGGGCGGCAATCCCTCTTGCGCACACACCTGGATCGCTCTGGCCACGTCGTCCTCGTTGGCGACATCGCAGCTGACAGGCAAGACGCGACTACATCCCGCCTCGCGGAGCTCCTCGGCCAATGCTGCCGTCTTCTCGCTCTTTGCTGCGCTACGCGACAGAAGGACAAGGTTCCGAGCTCCGCGTGATATCATCCAGTGCGCCACAGACTGCCCTAACCCGCCGGTTCCGCCTACAATCAAATACGACGCGTCGGGAGAGAGCTTCGCAGCCACCGCGCGTGGGAGTACTGGTACCATTTCATGCGAACCGACCGACAAGACGACCTTGCCCATATGGTGCCCGGTCTGCAGCAGACGAGACGCTTCGGCAATGTCCCCCATGGAATAAGCAGTGATAGGATGCACAGGCGCGACGGCATTGGCCTCAACAAGGCGCATAACCTCTCCCAGATAGCGATGCACGTCAGCACCTCGGCGCTCTAAGAGACTCGGAAGGTCGATGGCCGAGAAGGAAACAGAGCGGGAAAAGGGTCGCATCTCGAGATTGCTGTTTCTCTCCGAATCGTGCTTGCCAATCTCGACAAAGTGCCCCAGGGGTGCGACTAGGTTGAAGCTTTCCTGCAAAAGGGGACCCGCCAGCGAGTTTAGGACCACGTCAACCCCGTAGCCGTTGGTGGCAGCGAGGGTAGCAGGCCCGAAGGATGTGTCATGGCTGTTGAAGATGTGGTCCGCTGGTATGCCGTGCCTTCGCATGATGAGCTCTCGCTCTTCAGGGCTGCCAACAGTGGCGAATATTTCCGCCCCGAGGTGTTGCGCAACCATGATGGCAGCCTGCCCAACGCTGCCAGCCGCGGCATGGATTAAGACCGACTGGGTGCGTTGCAGCCTTGCGACCGCGATGAGAGAGAAGTACGCCGTGAGGAAAGCTACTGGGAGCGATGCTGCCTCCTCGAAGGTGAGCTCTGTCGGCATGCGTACTGTTGACCTCCACCCGACTGTAGCTCGGCTTGGGAAAGACGACTGGCTCAAAAGGCAGACAACACGATCGCCGACTACGTAGCCCTGAGCAGCTGCCTCGCTCCCCACTCGAGTGACGATTCCCGCACACTCGAGGCCTATGATATGCTCGTCCGTATGGCGCAAGTCGGTACCGTACGCCCTGGGCTCCACCTCTATCAGGCTGGGCTGAAGAGAGTCATAGTAGGCCTTGTCATCGTCACCAAAGGCTAGTGATTCTGGCTGCAAACAAAGGGGGCGATCTGGCTGGTAGAAGGGCTCCATAACAACGGTTTGCTTGGCATCCAAGTCTGAAGCGTTTGGAGAAAGCATCTGATCCCTCGCCACATCATGGTACAGTCGTGGAACTAAGATCACGCCATCTCGCTCGGCGTACTCAAACTCGGTTGGGCCTTTCTCTGCCCCAGGGCCGTCCTCGGAGTTGCCAAAAGCTGTGCGTAGGATTTGCACAATGGCAGATGCACCGGCGTCAGACCACAGGGGCCCTTTGGGGTCTAGGTCCAACGTCAACAATTTTCGACCAACGTACTCGCTGCGCAGCGAGCGAACAAACCCAGCCGCAAGACTGAGTTCGGGACTTTCGCAATCCACGGCGCCCCCTCGCGTCACCCAGATGAGCCCCTTACAGCTCGTGCTCATCGCCCGAATACCCTCCAGAGACGCTGAATCGAGGTCGTAGAGGATGGGCTCGTCCACCTCGCCAATGAAGATACAAATCTTGTCAGCGAACCATGTTGAGGTGGCAGAGGCAGACTCAAGCTCTTGTACAACCGGCAACTTCCTGTCTTCTCCTTCGGTGCATGCGGCGATGGAATCCTGGAGGCTCTGCAGCCATCCGGAGGGAGGAGACCCAGCTCTACGACTTGTGACAATGACCAGCTTCTCCGGACCGACGCTCAGCTTCGGGGGCAATGACATTGGTACTGTCGCCATGATAGTAATCGCAGTCTGGCTTTCGGTGCTTTCGCAGTCGGGCAGCTTGAGATCCACGGCGAAGCCAGCGGCCCGGAGATAGCGATCCCACATGGGTGCGCTCAGCACCGGGTTGGCCTCTCTCTCAGGCTCTTCGCCAAGCCACCAATTAGGAAGCAGCCCGCTCACAAACTGGGCGTCGATGTGACACTGCACATCCTCCATCAGCAAGAGAGTCCCGTTTGGCTTGAGGAGGCTCCGAACGTTGTTCAGCGTGCGGGAGATAGATTTGGTAGTATGCAGGACGCGCGAGGCGATAACAATATCGTAAGGGCCGTTCGTGAAACCCTGCGCGGCTGGATCCTGGTCAATGTCGAGCACGTCAAAGGACAGCAGGTCGCTCCAGGCCGATAGGCTTTCTCGAGCCGCCTCAAAGAAGGCCGCTGAGATGTCGGTATAGTGATACAAGGAAGCGTGTGGACCGCCCGACGTGGTGGTACCAAGGGCTTCAAGGGCATATCGCGTCATGGCGCCTGTTCCTGCGCCGATCTCCAGGATGCGGGCACGGGGATTCTTGTGTGCAAGGTGGCGTAGCAGCCCGGCGAGCTGCGACCCCATTCGCTTCACCTTGGGCGTCTCGGTGTAGAGCTTGGGCAACAGATTGTCCTCGGCCATGAGTTCGAGTGGTGCAGTCTGCCCTCGCAGTATAGGCACCAGTTGAGCACCCAGGCGGCATACCATCTCGCCACCCACGCTGGCCTTGGCCACCTGGTCAATCCGACGTTGTTTTTCCGGCTCTTCATCCACAAGCCACTCGGCACTACCGATACAAATTTGCCCTGAGGCGGCCCGCTGGACAGTGTCGTTCATCCATGCATAATACTTGGCGTAGTGAGATCCCATGCATTCCGTATCGCGAGGATCCAATGCAAGTAGAGCCTGCTGCATGAAGTAAACGCACACTCGCCAGACGTCCACTCTGAAACTGTCCTCGGACGGGTCAATGTTGCAGCTCAGTTGCTTCTCAATAGAGGCAAAAGTGGCCGGCGACGCAAAGGAAATATCAAGTGACCAGTCCATTTTGCTGCACAGCTCTGTCTCCCATGGCGCAGACTGTTGAAGTGATACACTGCGTCCCAAAGACTGGTATGAGAAGCCTTTCATTTCCAGCACGACGTTTCCGTCGCCGGGATCGACAACTGACACGTCGGCCTCCATTCCTTGACGATCGTCTCGGATGAGCGAAGAGTGAGTCTTGAAAACATACCCCGCCGTATGACTGATCTTACTGGATACCCAGAAATTCGTAACAGATCGGGGGACCTTGGCGGCGGTCTCACGGGCAGCAGCTCCGGGAACAGCCGAGTATGGAGCCGTGATGATCGAGTCCAATGTGACAGGGTGCAGGACGGGGTCACGGGGAAGATCATTCGGCACCGTCGTGTCCGCCACGGTCATGGTAACCATGCTGCGCATTTCCGAGCCCGACTGGACTATGCCCTTCATGTTCTGGAACATCGGGCCATGAGCGATGCCAAGAGCCCTTAGGTTGGCGAACAGGTCGGCCGGGATAATGCGTCTTGTGTAGCCTTTGATGTCGAAGTCGCGCGTAGTTGGCTTGAGAGCCTCCAGGGAGGGGAATTCAAACTCGATAGATATCAAGCCTTTGGCGTGTTGGGTCCATCGATTGTCCGCCGTGACGGTCCAGACCTCGAAATGTTTCCATCCCTGTGCACTGACGTCTTTCTCGCTCACGGGGCGAATCGTCGTTTGGATCTCAATGCCCTCTGCGTTGTCGGGTATCATGAGGGCCTGCAAGAAGTCGACGTCTCGTAGCCGATAGCCGGATATTTCCTTGGCACCGGTCTTCTGGTCTATTGTTGTGAGCTGCCTAATCGCCTCGATGGCCAGGCAGATGTACCCGGCGGCTGGATATACAACGTTGGATTGAATGACATGGTCCCTGGTCCACGGTGACTCGGAGATACGAAGGATGTGTCGCCACGAGGGTGTCTCTGGATTTGAGCCCTCGACAAGCGAGCCCAGGAGATCATGGGGCGGATGTGACCGTTCGCGAAGGGCCCGGTTGAACCTTGGCTCGACCCAATGCTTGACCTGGTGGTTCCAGGGATACGATGGCAACTCCGTCAGCACCTTTACGTGTTGCTCTCTGCCATGGGGAAAGTTGACGGCTTCCATGTCCACAGGATATCCTTCTTGCAGCAGGCTGGCGGCAAGAGCCTGCATGCTCTGTCGCGCATCTGTTTTGCGCACAAGGCAGCCGTAGTACGGGATCCGCAGGTCCTTGAACTCGGGAAGCGCGAGGATCTCCTGAATAGGACCCCCCAAAGCTGTATGCGGACCAACCTCAACTACGACATCCACGTTGGAGGCAGACGTCCCCGACTCCCCCACAATCATATCGATGAACGCGTCGACGAACTGGACAGGCTGTAACAAGCTCTGCACCCAGTGCTCTGGAGACGCGATCTCCTTGGCATCAATCATGCGGCCCCCGGTCACTGGTGAGGAGAAAGTGATCGTTTTAAGAGCATTGTCAATGTCGGTGGACTGCAACTCTTCCAGTGCCTTGACATAAACATTGGCAATGGGGGCCATGTGATAGGAGTGCCAAGCGACGTCCACCTTGAGGCGGCGAGCAAAGACACCATCTGCGACGGCCAAGTCTTCGAGCTCTTTCACAGCAGATAGGTCTCCAGCAACCGTGATACTGGATGGGCTGTTGATGCACGCCACCACAGCCTGGCCCCCCGACGTCAGCCGCTTCAGGTAGGATTCAGTATCCTCCAGTCCGAGCCCAACGGCAACCATGCCACCCTTGACCGGCCCTCGAAGTCTCTTGTCCGCAGCCAGCACAGCGCGGTAATATGAGAAAGCCATAGCCGCCTGGTAGCTCAGTGCTCCGACAGTGTAAGCCGCGGCAATCTCCCCACTCGAATGGCTGGTCACAGCCATGGGCACAACCCCCCAAGCCCGAAGTAGACGTACAAGCGAGATCTGCACTGCGACACAGATTGGAGTACTCAGAGCGACCTCGTTAATTCGAGAGCTCTCGGCATCACGCGATAGCTCCTCCATCAAGGACCATTCTGCACCGAAATCCTTGAGGTATCCTTCGGCCTCTTCGAGGGATTCTTTGTAGACGGGATAGGCATTCACGAGCTCTCTACCCATAGCATACCATTGTGCTCCCTGGCCCGTAAACACCATGCCGATTCTAGGCGCACGCGAGCTGCGGATAGGTTTGAATTTAGGTGAGTCAAGGGCCTGGATGACTGTATCGATGCCCTCCGTGACAGGAACCGGGTGCGCGGCCACCCATGGGAACCGGGTCCGCCGTTGGCCTAGGGTATATGCAAGGCTTTCAAGTAATTCTCCGGGATTTGGCTGCGTCAACTTTTGCTGTTCGAGATAATCCTTCAGATTGGAGATCATCCTCTGACACGCCTGTTCGTCTTTCCCACTCAGCACGAAAACCTTGGAGTTATCATGGCTAATCCGGGCATGTCCATCCAGCTGGACATGCTTCCGATATATACCATGTCCATTCGAGTGGCCGTTCGAATATGCGTTTCTGCCGGCAAAGGCTGGAATCCATGAGGCGCCATCTTCCATAATGATATGTGCGTTGGCCCCTCCGTACCCGAAATTGTTTATAGAGGCGCGGCGAATTGCGGCCGCCGGCCATTTTTCCAACTCCCGGACCAGTCTGAGATTCCAGTCCTCCAGAGCTATCTTCGGGTTGGGCTTCTCAAAGTTGATGGAGGGCGGGATGATCCCCTTTTCCATGGCCAGGGCAGTCTTGATGATGCTTCCCAGCCCGCTTGCTGCCTCTGTGTGGCCGATGTTTGTCTTGACAGATCCGATAAGCAGTGGCTCACGGTCAGATGACGCAAAGATGGTTGCAATGGCCCGTGGCTCGACGGTATCTCCCGCCTGGGTGCCTGTACCATGTGCCTCAAAGTACTGCGTATCTCGTGGATCTAGTCCTGCTTTCCGGTAGCAAGCCCAGATCAAGGCTTCCTGGGCCTCCAAACTCGGAGTGGTGATGGTTTCCGTCTTGCCGTCTTGGTTGAGAAATGATTCGCGAATTACAGCCCGGATGGGGTCGCCAGAAGCCAGGGCGTCTTTCAAGCGCTTGATTACGAGGGTTCCTACGCCCTCGCCACGTCCGTATCCACTTGCGCGCGAGTCGAAGGCATACGACTTTCCGTCTGCAGATAGAAACCTTGGTGACACATGTCAGTCTCACTCATAACGCCTTGAAATGAACAGCAAATGTGGAATACTGCACTCACCCTGCCGATCCCAAGGCCTTAAACATGTCAGGGTTGAGGGTTAGGTTGGCACCGCCCACGATGGACATATCGGCCTCCCCCGTTCTCAAGCTTTGGATGGCTTGATGCATGGCCACCATGCTCGAGGAGCAGGCCGTTTCTATTGTCATGCTCGCTCCCCGAAAATCAAAGAAATGTGAGATACGATTCGACATCATGGGCACGCCGGTCCCTGTTGCCATCAACCTGGGCAGATTGTCGGCGTCTCGGAGTAAGCTGTCCCTGTAGTCATGCACAAAGACTCCTGTAAACACGGATGTGTTCGAACCGGCGATCTGGGCCAATGGAAGGCCAGCTGTAGGTGCTATTAGCAATCATGTTTCCAACCCGATCGTCAGCTGAGGTTCTCACCATTCTCCAAGGCCTCATAGACGGATTCCAGCTGCAGTCGATATTGGGGATCAAGAGACTAAAGAAAGCGAGTCAGGTCAGGTAAACACGATCTGCACAGATGTAGTATTTGACTTCGTACCGCTGCAGTCTCACTCGAGTAGCCAAAGAAGGCCGCATCGAACAATCCGACATCCTCCTCCAAGAAATGTGCGCCCGTGACGTGCGTCTAGAGAGACACTTGTCAGTTCCTGTTCCTGCTGCTATGTATTGCATTGGACGTCACTAGAATGAAGGCCTACTTACACTGTTCAGTCTCTCATTGTTCGGATGATACACTCCTTTCGCATTGAATCTGGAAGATGGAAAGGGTGTCCAGCCACTTCTTCCCTCGACCAACATACGCCAGAACTTCTCTGTGTTTGTTGCGTCTCCTGAGAACTTTGCACTCATGCCAATAATGGCAATGGGCTCATTTGCCCAGCCAGCCGTGACCCCGTTACAATCATTACCAATGCTCCCCATCTTTTCTGTCGAGGTAGGCACTGTCAGGGAAAGTCTTCGTCAATKGTGTTCCTTTGCAGCAGCAGGCAGGAGTTTCAAAGTAAATGAATGAATGAATGAATGAATGGGAACCACTGCAGTTTATGCGTCTACTGTCTAGGCATCGTGGCAAGGTAGTATCTATGYAGCCATATAGATAGGTTCTGATATCTGATAATAAACAGTGGAGATAGCCTGGGACTCAGGCAACAATAAATCGCCAATCTCCTACGTCGTATGTCGCCTATAGCATATCTTGGACGGAATGCGTCAGCACGACGCTTATGACGGGACCATTCCGGCGGCACGGAGAGCGGAGAAATTCGAACAGACTGGGGACATGATAGTGAGCTAACCAGGTAGTAAGCGAGGTGAAGTCGCATCCACGGCGAAAGTACCGAAATATTGTCTCATACTGTTCGTATTACTGCAGAATTCTTACCTGCATCAGCGTGCAGTAGTCGCACCTTCAGCTGCAGCTTTCATAGGCCAGTAAAGACGTTATCTTACGGGGTGATGGGGGTCGCCAAGGTCTGCTATAGGCTGACTACTACGGATTACCTACGGCAATGATTATTTCAACACGAGAAAAAAGTCCGCCTTGCATGATACAACTCCGGTTACTAGATTAAACTCCTAACACCTCGATAGGTGCCTCAGATTACCTAGAAACTCCGGATAGTATAGCGGCAAGCCATGGATGTGAATCCTTTGCTACTGTACCAATACACCTACTACAGTCAAAGCTCTAGGGGCAAGAAGCTATGATTTCTCCGACATGTGCCCTCTCCATTCTGATTTCTCTGCGATGGTGGCAAGATCAGAGAACCTCCTAAAAGCCCACCGCAACGTCCTCTGTGACTCCTAGATTCATCTTCTATCCACACGTTACCCACAAAACCTCCTTGCTCATTCCTAGCTGAGACGGTGATAGTAGAGTTGAACTCTACCGCAGACGCCCAAGCCTCACCACTTAGAACTGAGCTCATCCGCACAGCGCCTTCTGTGACCCGAGCCATGCCGGATGCCAGGACTCTCCTTCTGTTCGGGCCTGGGGCCATGTCCTTGGATGAGCCATACTTCAGTCGTATCATCTCATTCGTGAAAGGTGATGCCACCAGCCAGTGGGCTCTCCATGCTATTGAGGATATCGAGAAATGCTGGGCTTCTCTATGCGAATCGATTCCGAAATTGCAACAGACTCCAGGAGTGAGCCACGCGCAAAAGCTGGCCGAATGGCTTCGGACGGGAGTCATCACGCCGCAATCAACCGTTGCCAATCTACCCAATGCAATTCTTGGGCCGCTCGTCATCATAGCCCAACTGGCCGAATATCTTCAGCATGTGAACTCGTTCTGTCCATCCGGACTCGGGGACGGACATGGGTTTCAGGTGCCTTCACCTGCGCAGACCGAAACACTTGGCTGCTGCCTTGGTGTGTTCAGTGCCCTAGTAGTGTCTGCAAGCTCGTCCTGGGCGCAGTTCTGCCACAATGCCGCAGCAGTGCTTCGCATAGTCTTCGTACTAGGAGCACTGTCTGACGCGCAGGATGCATCTGACGCAGCAGGGCCGTCTCTCTCCTTGATAGCATTTTGGAGAGGGGGGCAATCAGTGGCCGAGCTGAAGAAGGCTTTGGACCGGTTTCCGGAGGTAAGCAGGATCAATTTGCGGGACGTATTCCAACTAACGGACGTGATGGCAGGCCTACATCTCCGTATCATATGACGACAATCGTGTGACGGTGACAACGTCTACACGCACTGCTTCCGCCCTGAAGAGCCATCTCCAGAGTGCCGGCATCACAGCCACCGAAACCGAGTTTCATGGTCGCTTCCACGCAGGATCGCTTTACGAAAACGACCTTCAGGCTTTGTCTGCTTTCTGCAAAAGACTCCCCACCTTTCAACTCCCAGATGCTTCTTGTCTCGTCTTGCCGACACGCGTCAACTCGGAGGATGTTATCACTGGCGGGGAAAACCTCCTTGAAGTAGCTTCACGCGCATTCCTCGTACAACAGTTCAACTGGATCAAAACCTTCCGCGCTGCTGTTTCCAGTTCGCTACAGGACAGAAGCTCTCGCGTGATCGAGTTTGGACCGGAACGATGTGTCCCGCCGACGCTCCTCCGGCGACTGAATAGCCAAGTCACCCACTTCGACCTTGAGCACAGCATTAGCAGCCGCGGAAGTGGTTCCAGCCCAGCCCCGGCACCCGTAGCCGCCGGAGTAGCTGAGAATGATATTGCTGTCATTGGCATGTCCTGCAACGTGGCAGGAGCCCCGGACTTGGAGCAGTACTGGAAGATCCTGCTGGAAGGCAAATCGCAGCACAGGGAACTTGTGCCCAACGATCGCTTCGTCATGGAGACTACTTTCCGCCCCTACGAAGAGGGTGACGAGAAGAAGAAATGGTACGGCAACTTCATTGACGACCATGATGCCTTTGACTACAAGTTCTTCAAGAAGTCTCCACGCGAGGTCCTTCATATGGATCCACAGCAGAGGCTCATTCTGCAGACGGCGTATCAGGCCGTCGCGCAGTCAGGGTATTACCACAAATCCAAATCCGATGAGCGTATTGGGTGCTACATCGGCGTTGTTGCCAATGACTATGAGAACAATATCTCGCATACCTCGCCGACAGCCTTTTCGGCCACAGGCGCCCTGCGCAGCTACATTGCTGGAAAGGTGAGCCATTACTTTGGCTGGACGGGACCCGGCATGACAGTCGATACGGCGTGCTCAGCATCAACCGTCGCCATCAACCTAGCATGCCAGGCTATCCTGAGCGGCGAATGCACGGCAGCTTTGGCTGGCGGAACCAACTTTTATAGCACGCCTATGTTCTTCCAGAATCTGGCCGCAGGGTCTTTCCTCAGCCCTACCGGGCAGTGTAAACCTTTTGACGCGAAGGCAGACGGGTACTGCCGGGGCGAGGCTATCGGAGCTGTCTTTCTCAAGAAATTGACGGACGCCGTCGCCGACGGTGACCAGATTCTGGGCGTCATCTCGGCCACCGCCATCAACCAGAACCAGAACAGCACGCCGATCTTTGTCCCCAATCCACGCTCTCTGTCCGATGTCTTCCGCACTGTCATTGCCAAATCCGGCTTGCAGATCAAAGACATCTCGGTCGTCGAGGCCCATGGGACGGGGACCCCTGTGGGTGATCCGGCCGAGTACGACAGCATCCGCCAGGTCTTGGGGGGTTCAGTTCGCCAAGGCCTAAAGCCTTTGCAGATTGGCTCCGTCAAGGGTCTGATCGGTCACACTGAGGGCGCCTCCGGGGTTGTAGCGCTGATCAAGATACTGCTGATGATGCATGAAGGCCACATCCCCCCGCAAGCCAGCTTCACTTCCATGAACCCTGCTATCAAGGCTTTGCCATCTGACAACATGGAGGTAACCAAAGCGTCCATTCCCTGGACAGAGGATTTCAAAGCAGCGCTCATCAACAATTACGGAGCAGCCGGCTCGAATGCTTCGATGGTCGTGAAGCAGGGGCCGAAGCCGGTCGGGGAGAAGAGGGAGATGTTAACGTCCTCCAGTTCGTCCTTCAAGTGTCCGTTCTATATTTCTGGGCTTGATGACAACAGCATACGAGCCTACACTGCAAGACTGCGCCAATCCATTAATGCGAAAGTGATCTCCGGAGACCGCCTTGGAATCGAGAACCTGGCATTTAATGTGAATCGACAGTCCAATTGGTCCCTTGGACGGGGTCTCGTCGTTGCTGCCGCGTCTATCGACGAATTGGACCAAAAGCTGACATCTTTCGAGACTTTCGCGGCACCAGCCCCCCGACCCGTCATACTATGTTTTGGGGGCCAGGTAGCCAAGTTCGTTGGACTGGACCGTGAGGTCTTTGACAAAGCAACCGTCCTGCGTCAGCATCTCGACCGGTGTGACAATGTCTGCAAGTCTATTGGTGCCGGTAGCATCTATCCCGGCATCTTCCAACGCGAGCCAATCAACGATCCATCCGTGCTTCAGCCGCTTCTGTTCGCCATTCAGTATTCGTGCGCGATGAGCTGGATCGACTGCGGCGTTGAACCAGCGGCCCTTGTCGGTCACTCGTTTGGGGAACTCACTGCGCTCTGTGTTTCGGGGGTCTTGACTATGGAAGACGCTCTGAAGATGGTCCATGGCCGGTCCAAGATAATCAGAGACAGTTGGGGCCCTGAAAAGGGCGCCATGATCGCAGTCGAGGCCGAGTTAGCGGATGTCGAGGACTTATTGGCGGCTTCAAATGCCCGCCTGGGTGGAGATGAAAGCGCAGGCAGGGCGACTGTTGCATGTTTCAACGGTCCCAAGAGCTTCACGCTTGCTGGGTCGGTCGCTGCGATTGATGCTGTGCAACAGGAGATCTCGACGCGGAATGCAACAAAGCCTGTCCTAAAACACAAGAGGCTGGATGTGACCAATGCCTTTCATTCTGTGCTGGTTGAGCACTTAAAGCCGGGTTTGGAGGCTCTGGGTGAGAAGCTGAGTTTTGGTCAGCCCAGGATCCAGCTCGAGAGAGCAACCCAGGAGCGCGACACCAGTCCTCTCTCGGCGGCCTATGTTGCCGAGCACATGAGACAGCCGGTCTATTTCAACCATGCTGTCCAAAGGCTCGCAAAGCAGTATCCGGAAGCCATCTGGTTAGAGGCCGGCTCCAACTCTACCATCACAACCATGGCAGGCAGAGCCCTCAGCATGCCAAAAAGCTCGACTTTCCAGCCAATAAATGTGACAAACGGCAGTCAGGGGTTGCAACAACTCGTCGATGCAACCATGAGCCTATGGAAGGCCGGTTTGCGTGTGTCCTTCTGGCCACACTCGCGGGTACAGACCTATGAGTACGCACCCATCATCCTCCCGCCATACCAATTTGAGAAGCATCGACACTGGCTGGAATTCAAGCCGCCCTTGAAACAGGTCGTCGGCGAGGCCAGCACTGCTGCTGTCGAGGTGGAAGCGCCGCCCACCGGTCTCTTCACCTTCCGGGGCTACCGAGATAAAGGCGAAAAGGAGTGTCAGTTCCGGATCAACACTACCGTAAAAGAATACGTGGATGTTGTCACGGGACACGTAATGGGGAAGACAGCGCACACATGCCCAACCATATTCGAAATAGACCTGGCATTACGGGCCCTCACGAGCATTCGTCCGGAACTGGCCGAGGCCAACAAGTTGCATCCTCAAGTCTACAATGTTGTGAACCTGTGTCCCATCGTTGCGAATTCATCAAGAACCCTATTCCTTGATTTCGAGCGCGTCGGCACTGAACCTACCAGCTGGCACTTCAAATTCACCAGCAAGCTCGACGGCGCTGGGGAAGCCGTGCACCTGAGCGGACAAATCTACTTCGTGCCTCTTGATGACTCTCGGACCCGTCTCGAGTTCAGCAGGTTCGGGCGTCTCGTGACACATGAACGATGTCTCCGAGCCTTGGAAAGCAGTGACGACGCCGAGGAGGTGATTCAGGGACGGAGTATCTACAGGGTCTTCTCCGATATTGTTGACTACGGGGAGAGATTCCGGGTTCTGCGGAAGCTGGTTGGGCGTGCCAACGAGTCGGCCGGCAGGGTGGCGCACAGACGGTCCGGCGAGAGTTGGCTCGATTTCGTCCTAGGCGAGGCTCTTGCCCAGGTTGGTGGCATCTGGGCCAACTGTATGGCTCCAGACCGGCGAGCCACAGATGATACCGTCTACATTATCAGTGGGTTTGAGCAGTGGATGAGGTTTCCGCAAGTTCTCCATCAAAACCATCAAAAGGAGTGGGATGCCCTGGCAGTGCATAAGCGCAGCGAAGCAGGGGAGTTCTTGACGGACATCTTTGCCTTTGATCCAATGTCCGGGGAACTCGAAGAGGTCATACTTGGCATCCGATACACACCAGTTCCAGTGTAAGTCCTCTTGGCCTTTCCATTCAGCTCAGATAAACAGGATGTACAAGACTTTTGCTAACACTGGCTACAGAGGAGAGATACTGGCGAACTCTACTGTGGCTGCTACACCTATGGCAAATAGTCGCGCTGTTACGGAATCGCTTGTGATGCCTATGACAGCAACTGCTCCAAGGCGCACCCCAGCCGAGTACGATACTTCTCAGCCCCAGCCACATCAGCCAGCAGTGAAGCCTGCAGCCCATGCCAACAGTCGCAAGAACATCAAGGCTGATCTTTGGTTGAAGCTACTGCCCGTTCTGGCAGACATCTCTGGCCTCGAGCCAGAGGAAATCAACGAGACCGATACCCTTGCCGACATCGGAATAGACTCACTTATGGGTATGGAGATGGCGCGCGACCTCGAGACCACCTTCAATTGTACTTTCGAACAGTCTGAGCTTATGAGCATCTTTGATGTGCCAGGCGTTCTCAGTTTCCTCCAGTCTACGCTTGGTTATCAGGATGAGGATAGTGACTCCGAGTCCTCGGGCATGTCATCTTCGCAGAACAGCCGCTCCTCCAGCGATGCCGACTTGCCTTCAACGCCAAACTCGATGGAGGAATATGCGGAAACATACGATGTTTCTGACAAGTCCATCGATCTGCCAACGGCTGCTATCCTTGAGACGTTCCGCGAGTCTAAAGCACAAACAGACTACTTCCTCAAGAGCCGTGGGTGCGCGGGATACCTTGATGGTGTGTCCCAGAAGCAGACAAGGTTGTGCCTGGTGCTCACCAGTGAGGCGTTCAAGCAGCTGGGTTGCGATCTCGAGACGGCCAAGCCCGGTGAAGTCCTGCAGCCCGTTCCCTTCGTCGCCCGGCACCAGCGATTCCACGAATACCTCTACAAGATGTTGGAAGAGACCAGGATTATCGACGTCGACAACGGTGTCATCACACGGACCGCCATCCCCCTTCCCTCGCTGAGCGCCGATGCCCTTCTCGAAGACCTGATGCGACACCATGCGGACAATGGGTCTTCGCACCAGCTCACATATAATGTTGGCTCCAGAATGGCAGATGTCTTGTCAGGCAAGGCCGACGGCCCGCAGCTAATCTTCGGGGATGCGAAGAACCGAGAACTCGTGGCTAATTTCTACGGCGAACTACCGTTCAACAAGCTATACTTTGAGCAGATGGCCGACTTTCTCACCCGGCTGGCGACGAAGATGAGGCTTGCATCCCAAAATCGGACGACTCTAAAGATCTTGGAGATGGGAGCCGGAACGGGCGGCACGACAAAGGTGCTCGTTCCAGTACTGGCGAAGCTTGGAATACCTCTCGAGTACACCTTCACCGATCTTTCGCCATCTCTCGTGGCCCAAGCCAGGAGGAAGTTCAAACAGTACCCATTCATGAAATTCGCTGTGCACGACATCGAACAGCCTCCTTCCGATCCAGAACTCGTGGGCTCACAACACATCGTCATCGCCAGCAATGCCGTGCACGCCACCCATTCACTTAGGGTCTCAGCCCAGAACATCCGCAAGTTTCTGCGACCAGACGGCTTCCTTATGCTCCTCGAGATGATGGGGACGCTGCACTGGGTTGATGTCGTCTGGGGTACCCTTGAGGGCTGGTGGCTGTTTGACGATGGTCGGACCCATGCCATCGTAGACGAAAAGCGCTGGCAGAACGAGCTTCTTGCGGCCGGTTACAAACATGTGGAGTGGACAGATGGGAAGTTGCCCGAAGTGCGCGTTCAAAGGGTTCTGATTGCGTTGGCAGCCGATGCCGAACAAGACCTCGAAGGTCTGGGTGGTCCCGTTACACATCTACCAGGAACAGAGGATGGCCACCATCTATCTGACGAGGACATGAAAGCCCGAAAGGTCGCCGCGGACGACTACGTGAAACATACATCAGAAGGCTTCACAATCCCCGAGTACTCTGGACCTCCCCTACCTTCTGCCTGTGCCAAATGCGTTCTCGTAACAGGGACAACTGGAAGCCTCGGCAGCCACATTGTAACACACCTCGTCAGCCTCCCGTCGGTCGACACCGTGTACTGCCTCAACCGTCACGGAACGCCCCCAGGTGGTGCGAGATCCAGGAGAGACGCCACGGCAGCCGACGACTATAGCCCACTGCGCCGCCAGATCCAAGCGCTCGAATCCAAGGGCATCCATCTGGACGCATCTATGCTGGCCAAATTGAAAGTGATCGAGACAGACTCTTCGAAACCGCGACTCGGCCTGGACGAGGCCCAGTACAACCAGCTGCTGGACCACGTGACGCACATCATCCACAACGCCTTCCCCGTCAATGGCCTGCGATCCCTCAAGCAAAACGAGCCGCAATTCGCCACCATGCGCAACCTCATCGACCTTGCTGCAGGCGTATCCGCACGCCGCAAGCCCAACCCGGAAAGCGACTTCAAATTCACCTTCCAGTTCATATCATCTCTCTCCGCAGTAGGCATGTATCCATCCGTACACGATGGCGAGCAGCAAGTGCCCGAGGAACCCTGCGACATCGACAGCGCCCTTCCCAACGGCTACGGAGGCGCCAAGATGATCTGCGAACGCGTCCTGCAAGACACTCTCGGTCGCTCTCCGGACCGCTTCCGCGCCATGACCGTTCGACTGGGCCAGTTGTCTGGCTCTGCGAAGACGGGATACTGGAATCACATGGAAGTCCTCGGCTTCTTGTTCAAGTCGGCACAGACACTGCGGGCCTTTCCGGCGGTGCGGGGGGTGCTCTCATGGCTGCCTCTGGAGGACGCCTCGGCAGTGTTGGCGGACCTACTCCTGCGCGATGCACCCGACTGCCACCCCGTCTACCACGTGGACAACCCAATGCGGAAGCAGTGGGAGGAGATGACCCCCGTGCTGGCCGATGCGCTTGGCGTGCCGCAGAAGGGGATTGTGCCGCTTGAGGAGTGGCTCAGACGGGTGCAGGCGTATCCGGGCGAGAACCCGTGGGATAACCCGGCGGCAAAGGCTATAGACTTCTTTGAGCACAAGTTCGAGCACATGTCGTGTGGTGGAGTAACTATGGCTACGGATAAKGCGAGGGAGCACTCGCTGACTCTGCGAGATGTCCAGCCGGTGAGTGATGAGTTGGTCAGAAAATACGTCGAGGCTTGGAGGAGCAGTGGATTCTTGCGTTGAGTTGACTTGTCTTTCCATACTTCTTTGTTATATTTATTCATGTCGCAGGTAATAAACTAGGTGCTAGATATGGTTGATTCGTCTTATTCTACCAAGACCTATGTTGCTTTCATATAAAACATGTTTTGTCTTACTACGTCCTATACACACCCTAACTACTTATGCGATGTTGGTTTCATCGTATCGTTCGCACACTACAGACCTTATACTGTCTCTCTTAACATTGGACTTGGGAGGTGCATGCTTCTCACCCGACTCATGACCGATGTACTTCTGTATACATATTCGCACAGCGCATGAATAATGATACATACGGGCAAATGTCACCATCGACATCTCATGCCCTCAGAAGAAACGAAAGGTATACCGAAAATGATGGCTCCTCAACGACAATTAAATCGGCGAAGTCACCAAGTACGCACCACGTCCTCTACCCTCGTGTGAATACCAAGTAAGCTAGTCTCGACCCCTGACCCTCATGCCACATGCCGTATGCCGGCAGCTATTTTATTTACAGATTCCGGACTTCCCCTATTCCCCTGGCCAACGCCAACCTGGAAGAAACTCCGGAGTCCGAGGCCATGATTAAGCTCTTCCAATGAGAGAAACTCCGGAGTCCCAGACCCATGTCGACTCAGCCATAGATGAATGGGAGATTATAGCGCCAGAAGATCCCTCACATGAAATGAAATGCTCGACTTTTGAAGTCCTTGAAAAGGAAAAATTACATCTTGTGCCCGCCACAGGGTCTCATACTCCTTACCATCCATCTCCCCAGTCTGCCAACGCCGCCAAAAGTATCAGCGTCAGATGACTCAGACTGAGAGCCAAGATGGCGCAGTCCGCCCGCTCGAGGTGGCCATCATCGGCGGCGGGATGACCGGCCTGGCGCTGGCTGTCGGCCTGCTGCGGCGCAACGTGCCCTTCACCATCTACGAGCGAGCCGCCAACTTTGGCGAGCTCGGGGTCGGCATCCACTTTACTCCCAATGCGGAGCGTGCCATGGCAGCACTGGATCCCCGCGTGTTGCAGAGCTACTACGACGTAGCGACGCATGCCGAGGGCGGCTGCCTCAACTTCGTCGACGGCTTCCATGAGCCGCACGATGCAGATCCACGGACTACGACGGAGGAGGTGATGTTCCAGCTGCGCGTGGGGGAGGGGTACAAGGCCTGCCGGAGATGCGACTTTGTGGACCAGATTATACAACATATCCCGCAAGAACATGTTCGCTACGAGAAATGGCTGCAATCGGTCGAGGTGAACGATGGCGGCAGAGCTATCCTGAATTTCCGGGATGGATCCAAGGCCGAGGCAGATGTCGGTGAGTCTGATCGTAGCATCATAGGGTAAGGGCTGACCTTTCGTTTCTCCGCGCTGACCACCTGCAGTTGTCGGCTGCGACGGCATCAGATCGCAGGTGCGCAACGCCATGTTCGGCTCCGGACCCTCGAGCCCCAGAGCGCAATACGCGCACCAGCTCGGCTTCCGCGGCCTCGTGCCCATGGACAAAGCGGCCGCCGCTCTGGGCTCCGCAAAGACATCAACCGCGCGGGGCCACCTGGGTCCGGACGCCTTCGTCTTGAGCATCCCGCTTGCTGGAGTTAACGCAATGCACGTCGAGGCCTTCGTCATGGACCCGAATGAGTGGCCAGAGATCAAAACGGAGAACGACACGAAGAGATACGTCCTGCCGGCGACCAGGGAAGAAGCCATGGCTGCCTTTGCTGCATTTGGTCCCACGGTGCGGACCTTTGTGTCCCTGCTGCCCGAGGAGCTGCATAAGTGGGCTATCTTCGACATGCTGGATGCCCCTGTGCCGTCGTACGCGCGCGGGTTTATGTGCCTGGCCGGTGACGCAGCGCATGCCTCGACGCCCAATCAGGGGGGCGGCGCCGGGGCTGGAATGGAGGATGCACTGGTGCTGGCAGAGGTGCTGGCCGCACTGGCTGGTCGACCGGTTGTCAGCGCGGAGGTGATATCCGAGGCACTGGCGGTGTATAGTGAGGTGCGCTACGAGCGGTCACAGTGGCTGGTTAAGAGTAGCAGGCGAGTGGCCGAGCTTTTCACCTGGAAAGATCCGCAGTATGGTAGCGACAAGGAAAAGATCAGTCGTGATATTGCGAGCCGGAGTCATCAATTGTGGGACTATGACACCGACGGTATGGTCATGGATACGTTGATGACGTTAAAGTCAAGGTTAAGCTGAGGCACAGGCGAATGCCATCCCCAGCAGCACTTCCTTTGCTATTGTAGCGGCTTGGGCGAATCTGCGTACAATGATAACATGTCTTGATAGACGGTACATAGTTACTGTCTACTGGGTATGTGCAGGTCAGGAGCGATGCGATTGCCGTGTCCGTATATTCGCCTCGGACTCTGTTGCTCAACGTTCTCTCGACTGTGCTCCTTTGAGCTACAAAAATTTGGCACATTCTACATCAGCCTTGGGTTCTCTTTTCCATGATAGTAAGCTTCTGCCGAATAGGCGAAGTGTCATAAATAATACAATATGTGCCTCACACTCTCTACGTATATCCCTAGTCATATAGAGAACCGTACCGGACACCTCAAAGGCACTGGATCCTAATGCCTTTAGATGCATACTGAAACCGCAATTAACTCTATGATACAAGTGCCTGAGACAGTTTAATGGCAACTAAGCAGAGCTCTGGTCTGTCGTACTTTGTCAGAAGGCCATATCCATTCATCCGGGCACGGTGGCCTCCAACAAAAGGTCAGAGGTTTGATTGGCCCTGAGCATGATGATCCCTGTATGGGACCGTGCTCATTGCCACGAGCCGACTGTAGTCTAGACAGTAATACTTAATTGGATAGAGATATGAGCAACCGAGGGAATAAATGAGTTGCTCATCCGTGTTTCAAGTACTAAGAGGGCTCAGCAGTCACGTCCTTTACCCCTCAGAGGATTAGTGTCCTTCGAGCCAACTAAAGCAATCCACTGTGGAGTTTTCATTAGTTGGATATTCGGAATGTTTCACCGGCTTCCTTAGTGCGTGCAGGGATTTGAGCTCTCTAGGACGAGTGTTATCTAGCGTGGGGTACATCCGGGGAGTATTCCGCAGTCTGATGGCGTGATGAACCGAATATCTGACATCTGAAGACGGCCTTTTTCCGCCTCACTCCCTGATCGAAGGATCTTGGGCTCGCTCCAACCCCCTCTTCTTGGTTCTCGCCTCAATTCGTTGGAAGAATTCTCCCTATCGTATCGCGTTGCAACGGCAGATTCCCCGAAGGTTGACTCCGATCTTGGGTCTACTGCATAATCTGAACCGAATCCATGTCTAAGTGTCTCGTTCGTATCTGTCTTACCTGAGTGGTTCGTACTCGTTCCCAGCAGTTTCTAGAACTCCCGTAACGGCTATCCTAGGCTTCGGCTCTTCGGTTATGTTGCAGCCTGCTACGTATCCTATTCGAATATCCCTGAATCTAATCAGGTTGACGAGCTCAGAGCCTCCGATATCTGTGGGAACTATCCATAGCTAGTGGCACTATCGGCTGACGGCCCGTTATTATTCAAGCCAGAGCTTAGAATCGCCCCAACCGAATCTAGGCTTTTTGTTACATATATTGTGGTCTGTTCTCCTATCTTCAAATTTGTCCTACTGGCGGGATATCCTATAAGCTTCGGATTCTGTGAGGCCGGAAGAGTACAACCACGTACGGACGTCGCCGTGGCTGCTTACCACGTTGCTTGTTCAACTGCCTTCGCGACGTCGTAATCAGGAGTCCGTATATGCAGGTCAAAGCACACTTGGCACCACAGGATAACCCTATGGTCGGGCTCGACGTTGACCTCCCTTCGTTTAGTTAATTAACTAGGTTTTTAGGAACAATAAATAGCCCCCATCGCTTCGCAGCTAGACAGGGAGTAGTAGAACCCCTCCATTTGACATGTGCATACATCTCGTGTTTTCCCTCTTCTAACCCTTGGAACCCTGGTTTGTTCATTTGGCCAAGAATTAGTTGATACTACCATTGACAAATGCCAACCCTACAACCGCTGGGCTAGACAGGTGTAGACGACCGTTTCTAGCGCGAAGGAATAGTAATGCCCTACCTGTTGAAATCACCATCATCCATACTGCTAATGACGGGAAGGAGATCATAGGCCCTGTACTCTTGTGGCAGCGATAAGCCCTAGTGTACAAGGAATACCATCCTGCCATGTGTCAATGCGGGAGGTGATCCCAGAGTCTTAGGGCAGTAGTCAATTAGATCGTAGCCACAATACTAGTGGTAGGATTGAGCTAATGCGCTCTAAAACGCTAAAATCTCACTCTGCTTATACGAGTGCTTGAGTGCTGGACACTTGACGCCTCCAGCCAAGTATAGCACCCCGTTTTGTAACACTGCATTACAACTTCGCCCACGAGCTAAAATCTCACGTGGAGCGCTGATCATGCTGAAAGACTCAGATCTCTTGAAGAAGCATAAAATAGTCTGATATGTCACGTTCTGCAACATGCTATATAACTTTGTCATAACTCTCTTCCGTTAAAGCATCCCAACTGTCGGTTGTTCGGCTCTATTACTTCGTTAAACTACCCCGATCTCTCGTTTACTTCTGAACTAAAGTAAAAAGAAACACGGGAGCTAATAGCCACACCGACCAGGGAGCCATGGTGCGTGCATGTGGCACCCGGCAGCTGCCAGGCGTGGCATGCGAGGAGTGCCGTAGACGCAAAGCACGATGTGACCGGGTCCGTCCTCAGTGCGGGATCTGCGCCGAGGCGGGCCGAATTTGTGTCGTCGTGGACAAGAGACCACAGAGAGGTCCAAAGAAGGGTCAGATAAAGGATCTACGGTCAAGAATTGGTGAGTTCACCCCGTTTCACGATTTGTTGTGCTCTTTGAATTCCGTCCACTTTCCGTCTCCAGGGCACCTACCTGATGCATATAATGCTAATCTCCAATTGACTGACTCCTTACAGCTATGTTGGAGCAGCGACTCGAAAGTCAAGACTGGCCGTTGGAGTCTGATGTTGTACCACTGGGACTCGACGAAGTGACGCCGGAACGAGAGATCTTTGACGAGCGGGGATCTTATGCGAGCGTCGAATTCGACCCGTTTCCGATGCTTGATTTCTCCCCCGGCGGAAAGATGCCGGAAACCTCTGATTTCATGGCGGTCTCGGGCTATGTTTGCAATGAATCGCCCGTCAACAGTGGCCTGATGTCCCCGTATACGTTCACAACGAATATACAACAGGCTCCCATTACGCCGTTCTCGCCCGTAAAACCCACTGGGAACCAGATGATCACTTGTGACGGAGAATTGCAAATGTCTGATCTGGTGCGAAGTGAATTGTACGGTAGTTGCCCATGCCATGGCTGGGAAAAATGAAGACTGACAATGCGGCGACAATCTGAATAGGGACTTGCTGTATTTTGAGAGAGTGCACCCCATCGCTCCCATGATCCACAAGCGGCGCTACTTTTCCTGGGCAAGCGACGAGACCCCAACACCAGCTCGGGCCTGCTTACGCTCAGCCATGCGAACCGTCGCCGCGGCCATGTCGACACAGCTTCAGGCCTTGGGCGATGCACTGTACGCCGCCACGCGCCGCATGCTCGAGGCGCAGGATGTCCACGGCGAGACCGGCCTGCCCTGGATGACAAGCGTCAGGGGCCGACAAGGCCAGATCGAGCACGAGCGCACCCAGGCCTGGCTTCTCCTGGCTCACTACGAGTTCCTGCGCATGCCTGAGCAGCAGGCCCTGCTCACAGCCGGACGCGCTTTCCGGCTGCTGCAGCTGTCGCGCTTGTTCGACCTGGACGCACAGGATGAGAATGCGCCGGCTTTATCTGCCTCTGACTCCTCCTCCGGTCCGCAGGCCATGTATGAGGAAGCCTGGATAGAGACCGAGGAGAAGAGGCGGACGCTTTGGGCCGCGTTTATTCTGGATCGACTCTCGAGCATGCTCAACGACCGACCATTGATGCTGCACGAAGAAATAGTAGGTGCACATCCTCAGCTAGGCTTTCCTCCGCGTGCCCTTCCGTCCTAACTAACCCCAAGTCTCTTTTAGATCCGCACGCGGCTCCCCATGTCCGAGGCAGATTTCCAGAATGGCCGGGAACCTATCCGCATGGGGTTCCTCCCTGAAACCACCGGCAATAGCGACGGCTGCGGCACGCTCCCCCCATTCGCCGAGTGTGTCGTACTATCGAATCTCTTCGAACGCTGCATCTCTCACCGGCGGCTCGCACATTCCATCCCCCTGTCCGGTTCCGAGTCGGCGTCGCAAGCCTTTTGGAAACGACACGAGTGGCTAGCCGCCGCCGCGGCCTCCGCAACAAGGAGTGGGCTTCGCGCGCAGAGCGCCAGCGCAGTACCTGGGGCTAGGGACTCATCAGTCGCAAAGTGCGACCCCATGCGGTCGTTCAATCGCATCCTGGCCTACAGCGCGTCCGTGTCCCTCAGCAGCACGGCGGAAGCAAGCCCGTGGCAATCGCTGGGTGATCACCTGATGGCTTTGACATACAAGCAGCTGGCGTACCAGGCTGCGTCCGAGGTCGTCCATCTCATGAGAAATGCTCCTCGAATTGCTTTCCTAAAAGTATACCCATCCCTGGTTCATTGTCCGCTCTTTAAATATCGGATTACTGACATGCACGGACGCAGATGCACCCTTTCCTCCCAAACACGATAGCCCTAGTGGCCAGCTTCCTCAATGCTACATCACCGAATCTCGCGAGTCCGGACGAGGAGAGACTGGAAGGTGTGAACGATTTGCTCAGCGCGCTGAGATACCTGAGTGATGTCAACAATTTGGCGAGAGACCTTCTATATAAACTCGAAGCAGATGTTGCACGAACCACGCCATTGACGATGATGCGGTGACATAGATGTGAACCGCGTTGGTGTGCATAGGACGATAGAAAGAGTAAATAGAGTTGAGTTCACTGAAATTACAGAATATTAGAGTCCTATATGTTCACTAGTCTTAAGCGCACACTTTCTTATGATTCCACTCTCTGTAGGTTTTACTATCCTTGGGATTTCCCTCTGGCAAGATGGGGACACTACTTCGCACTGGCTATCGCACTTCCTTTCTAAGGTCGCAACTGTAATAGAGTCTGAATCCCAATAGAGAATAGCGTAACCAGTTACCAATCTCTATCTACACCTCAATACCCCAAGCAAGAACATCCACTACAGACCATAGAAGGTTGTTCTGCTTCCCTGTGAGCTACATACAGATCTCCGGCTGCAGGCTAACATGTCGACCTTAGGAGTCACTGCTATAAGCTTATTGGCCACCTATTTCTCCTTCGGCAGCGAATGTTGACTTTGCAAATCCTTTTGAGACAAATCGCACACAACTCCGGCCAGCGTCCAACAGGACACCGGAGTTTCTCAAAGACAAGTGCACGGAATCCGGAGTTATACTCTTATTCCCTGTGAAAATGTGGGACGAGTCTCTGTTTCCGAGTTCCTTCGTATCCTCGGGAACGGAATCCTTGTCAGCTATACGAGCCCTTGTTAACTGTATATAAAAACACTCGCAACGGGACTACCGGACAGCATGTCAATCACGAATGTTCAAGTCCAGTATGCAGGCAGTCAGCGCTTTCGCAACATGCCTACTGGCATCAGTTGGGGGCAACTCCAGTGCAGTTGTCCTTCCATCTCAAGCCAATTATCCCAACGCTGTCTCACCGTATAACTTCGATTACCCCGTGAAGCCCGCCGCCGTCGTCTACCCCCAGAATGCACAGCAGGTGGCAGCGGCTGTCAAGTGCGCGGCAGATGCCGGTGTTAAAGTGCAAGCAAAGAGCGGAGGGCACAGCTATGGCAATTATGGTATGCAGCGGTTGTATCACGAGGTTCATCTGATGTCCGCATGTTGACAATAAATTCAAGGATCCACCACCGGAGAGCTATCCGTGAACCTGCAGAACCTGCAGCAGTTCAGCATGGACGAAACCACATGGACCGCCACCCTGGGCGCCGGCCATCGCCTCGGCAGCGTCACTGAGTTGATGTACAACGCAGGAGGACGCCACGCACCGCATGGGCTGACGTTTACCGTGGGGCTCGGCGGACATGCCACGGTGGGCGGCCTCGGTGTCGCGTCGCGCCAGCTGGGGATGACCCTCGATTTCGTGGAGGAGGCGGAGGTGGTCCTGGCCAACTCGTCCATCGTGCGGGCGTCCAAGACCCAAAACACGGATCTCTTTTTCGCCGTGCGAGGCGCCGCCTCGAGCGTCGGCATCGTGACCGAGTTCAAAATCCGCACTGCCCCCGCACCCCCGTCGATCATCGCTTACACGTATGTCTGGACGGCGCCGGACGTGGCGTCCCGGGCCCAGGTCTTCAAAGCCTGGCAGGCCTGGATCGCCGACCCGGCCCTACCGCGGGAACTGACCCCGACGTTGACCGTCACCCCTAGCGTTATAGTGCTGGCGGGGACGTACTTTGGCACCCAGGCGGAGTTCGACGCGGTGAACATCACCGGCCGTTTCCCAGCTGCGCCGCAGTCGACCAGCGCACAGGTCTGGACTAACTTCCTCGAGGTGTCGAGGTTTTTGAGCAAGCAGGTCGACGGATCCGGCACCGCGTCCCCGGCGTACTTCTACGCCAAATCTCTATTCGTTCCTCCGCAGGGCATTGTCCCCGACGACCTGGCCGATGTCATGTTCGAATACCTGGCCACTGCGAAGAACGGGACCGATCTGTGGGCGCTGAATTTCGAGGCCCTCGGCGGCGCGGTGGCCGAGGTCTCACCGACGGAGACGGCAATGGTACACCGCGATGCGTCGTATGTCTTGTTTTCGTATGCGAGGACCACTGGTAAGGTGTCGAACACGACGGTGGGGTTCCTCGACGGGCTGAACGAGGTGCTTAAAAGTGCTTCTCCGTCGGCGTACTATGGTGAGTATGGCGGTTGTGTGGATCCGAAAGAGGACAACTACGAGGCGAGGTACAACTACTACGGGCAGAACCTACGCCGGCTGGAACAGGTCAAGGCGGCTGTGGATCCCAAGGACGTGTTCCATAATCAGCAGAGTGTGCGTCCTCGGGCTTAGTTGATTGCCCGGAGGTAGCCACTGGGGATCAGCCAGCATCTGATTTTCCTTTCGATCTGGTGCTGTTTCAAGACCAGAGATCTTCACACAAAGACCACAACCATAGCAGAGTGAGATTTTCAACATTCCTCCTGAAAGCTGATTGGATCTGTTCTCTTATCACCCGTCTCCAAAGATCGAAGTTATTCAAGTACATAGACTTGCAACTAAGTAACCTAACCACTTCTATCCTACAGCAGCACTGTCTTGGTTATTAGCTCTGTATTTAAGAGGTAAAAAGCGAGTTTCATTATCAGAGATCCCAGTGCACTGAACAGACGAAGAAGCACAGTCCAGTTCTAGTCGTAGTAGAGCATGATGACATATGATCTTGCCAGTGTGATTGCGCCGTTTTACATTATCCGGCTTGTGCATCGACAATCAGACCCATAAGGAGGTTTACAAGCTGTATCAAGCAAAGTCATAAGGAAGAAGCCAACGCACCCATTGCTCGAGTCTCGCATCATTGTCGCGGAGATTTGGGGTATCTAGCCGTTCTGGAATACCCCATGTTAGCACTAGATCGTTATGACAAGCAAGTTCATAAACGACCTACCACTTGTCACAAATAGCACATCATCCAGATCATGACGCGCCAACTGCTTCAGGAATTTCTTGGCTTCTGGATCTTCCCCTATTTGGCTGATCTGGAAACGGACCACTGTGATTGAGAGACAGAGATCAACCAAACGGGCACGTCTATCGATGGTAGGGAAGACTGGCTCACCTTATCACATCGGTCAGGTCTGTTCACGGTAACAGGAGAACGCGCCTAAGCCAAGACAGGTCTAGGTCCATCTCTTGGATATTGAATCTCGTATTCCCTCGAGCCATCAGACCAGCGTGTCTGGAATCAGGATGTGTCCCTCGTTACCCCTCGACGCATATTTGTAGTTGAGAAAGACAGTGACCTCCAGTTAAAGAACACTCAAGAATTGACACTATCACTGGCAGGAATAGGATGTCTCACGTCAGTCCCCAGCCCCAGCAAACATATGAATACGACCCTCTGCCCAACCCCACATCAATCCGACTCCTACGAGTCGACCAGAAAGACCCAAATGGCTTGATACACTGCACCATCAAAACAGTCGATCTAAATGATGCGCCTTTGTACCATGCCATGTCCTACACGTKGGGCAACCCGCACAGCGAACTGGCCCAGGTCCAGGAAACGCACGACAGGTACACAGAGGATTATCCTCCAGAGCACAAAGAGCGTATATCTGTCAACGGAAAGTTGTTATACGTCACGCGAAATGCGTATGACGCGCTCGTCTCCGTTCCCAGAGACGCATGGGCAAAATTCTGCAACCGCGGTAATCGAAGGAAACTTTTCCGGACATCGCTTCATTGGGCGTCTATCGCGGGGAAGCAGGAACTAATTCAGCCGCTTCTGTGTTCTGGCGTAGATGTTAATGTCAGAGATGAATGGGGGGTTACGCCGTTGAGTTACGCGGCGCAGGTGGGAAGTCGCGACGGGGTCGAGTTGTTGCTTTCTGCTGGTGCGGATGCGCGCATTGCGGATAATCGGGGGAATACTCCGCTTGACTATGCGAGGCAAGGTGACTATACGGAGATTATCGAGTGTCTGGAGGAGGTCGAGGAGAAGGGAGGAAGACTCGAGCCGCGAGTAGATTGGCCTGAAGGTCCCGACAGATGGTGCTGGATCGACCAGATTTGTATCGACCAGAATGATATCCCCGAGAGGGGTTCGCAGGTTGCGATCATGGATCAGATATACAAGAACGCAGCGTTTACGCTCGTCTGGCTCGGGCCTGAAGATTCCTACACCGATGTGGCCATCAAGACGATCGAGAAACTGGACACCGCCGCAGGAGACTTCATCCGAAGCACGGAGATACAACCATATAGAGAGCAACCTGAAGAGGTCTACGCTGCTGCAAAGATCCCCTATGTTTCCATGGAAGAGTGGGGATCCATCGCGGCCCTCTTTCAACGTTCCTACTTCAGACGGCTCTGGATCGTCCAGGAGAACATCCTCTCGGACATCATCATGGGCTACTGCGGGAGGCACGAAATTCCATGGAAAGCATTCCACACCGTAGCACAGCATATCTACTTTCGACAAGAGCTGCTGGGTCGACCGACGTCAACTGCGTTTATTGCGCCCCATCGGCCAGTGTCAGCTCTCGAAAGCGAGGTCGTATATCTCACTCAGTGGCGGGAGCGGTTGCAGATGGGCGACAAGGCCACCGTTCCTCGAGAGCCGTCGCTAGAGAATCTCATCTTCGACACCTGGACTTTCAACGCGACTGATCCTCGGGATAAGGTTTTTGGGCTATACGGTCTGCTCCGTGAGGGTGGCACTGTCGATTGGCAGCCGGACTACTCTCAGTCCGTAGGGGAGGTGTTCGCCCGAGCGACGAAGGAGATTATCCAGAAGGCAGGCGAGTTGCGCATTCTCTCCGCTGTCCACGACGAGTCCCTCCGAAATATCGCGGATCTACCCTCTTGGGTACCAGATTACAGCACGAACTTCTGCAACATGATGTGTGCCAATCATCATGCGGCTGGGGATACACCCATGAGATCTATCATTGGTACCCCGTGGAACAAACTTCCTGTGACTGGTGTCAAGTTTGACTCGGTTCTCGCGATAGGAAACACTACGAGTGGACCCGGCCAGATATCCATGTTCTTCGACCAAAGGTGGCTAGAACTCACTCTGCTGCTCCCAGTTCCATACCATACCGGCGAAACGAGAACAGAGACGCTGTGGCGCACCCTCTGCGCGGACCAGGCGCTTGACGGGTCAATGCCAGCACCTCCGTCATACGGGGACATGTTCAAAGCAATGGTGTGCAGTCTCGCCTGCGTCAAAGCTGCCGAAACAATGCGCGCTGCAGAAAAGGATCCGCAGAATGTCGTTAATCTCCTCTCAGCTTCGTACCACGTTCGGGAGACCTGGTCGAGCCCACCTCTCTCGGAATTGTCTGTAGAGGAGCTCACACGTGCTGTCGCAGACCCGCACACGAATCTCAGTCAGCCAGATCGCCAAACATTAACTCATTTGTTGTATAAGTTGCAGTTTCTTGGAATTGCTGAAGACAAATCATTTACACCCTCTATTGACGAAGTTGAGAAAGCATACTACAGTTCCTCATGGCTGCCTTGGGATGAGAGCGAGACATTACAGCTTCCTAGAGAAGGACAAGAGTTTTATAATGCATTAAGACGGAAACATGGTCGACGGAGGCTATTTGTCACTGCTAATCGGTACCTCGGCTTGGGACCGGCCGCGATGGAGGTTGGGGATGAGGTATGGCTTTTGGCGGGCGCGGGGGCCGCGATGGTACTAAGAGGGACCGAGACGCAAGACGAATTCCGGCTGGTCGGGGCTGCGTATGTACATGGAATTATGAGTGGAGAGCAAGTTGTAGATATAAAGTTGAAGGATATTACTCTAGTATAACGCAGTTGAATAGATATCATACAATCATCCCAAAATGCAAGTTGATGACATTCCAGGTATTTTCATGACTTCCATTAATAATAGACCGATACTACTTTTGTGAAATCCATCTCTCCCTCAATGATGGAACGGGTCAATCAGCTTCTACCGGGCATGCTTCGGCAGCCGAAATCCCAGATATGGGAGGTATTTCCCAGGATGCCAGTAGACGAACAATGCCGCACATGGGAGGATTGGCAAAGCATCAAAGATATACAGACACCACTCATGCAGGTTGATATATCCATTCTTGCCTTCAGTAAATTCAACCAGACGGTAGACAGAACGTATCTGCAGACAATAGTCAGTGATGGTCCAACACGAGAAAATGCTGTATAAGAACACTCACAAGGATCATCAAAGTGGAGAAGTTGACCACTCTCAGCAGAGCATTCCAGTTGTCACTCTTCCTCGGGCCACCAGGTCTTGCACCCCTGCTCTCAAGCATTTCGAATTGCTCGCCGACAGACTTGGCAAACCGTTTCGACGTGAAGTTGAACCGAAACGCAGCAATGGAGAACAGCCCAAACGCGATCAACTGGACTATGACACCAACCAGTGCAATGTTGCGACCGTGGTCAAACTTGTCCTTTGCATCACTGCTGGTATCATCGACAGATGTGATCAAGACTGCACCGCCTAGCTGAAGCAGCAGGGCCACGATGTCAAAGCCCACGAAGATCGGAGTGATAAAGCGAGGAGGAACCCAGCAGAGCTGAAAGGTTCGTGCTTCAGCTGGGACGATGAGGAAGAGGATACGACCGAAGAGGATATAACAGCAAGCTGCCATCAGGACAGGCGCGAGGATGATAAGAGAGAATTGCAGTACATAAGGAGTCCGTTCAGAGACGTGCTGGGCGGATATAGAGCGGGAAATGAAGCCTATTGCTTCCACTGTGGTATATTAGTGGTGATAGTTGCCAGTAACACAAGCACGCACTTACTAGCTACTGCAATAACCATGGTGATCCATACCCAAGCTCTGTAACGGATCCATTGAAAGACAGCTAGGACAAAGGTGGCCGAGTACAAGATTGCAAAGACAACAGCAGCACCTAAAGAAGGGCTGTATTGGTAATAGGACGTTTTGTATTCCCGTAGCAGATGCATTGATACAATAGGCAATATTCGTTATAGAATTAAAAGTTTGGGAGAAAAGTCTATGTTGTCTGTTGTTCCATAATGCGTCTTCATATATATATTAAACTCCATCATGAAACGAATGCCATTGAAGGATCGGCAGTCGGACACAAACGCGTAGTGTCGAAGAAAGGGAAAGTATTTCGGGACACTGCCACACTCTTCAATTTTTAGGCAGCTTTGATCTCTATCTCGCAACCAAGTCCGTTCCCCTGAAGAATCCTAAACTTCAGCTGTTTTGGATGAGACAAGAGCTGCACTGAAGAGACAATCCTCCAGCCAATAGAAGGCTTCCTTTCCGTCTCAGTCAGCGGACTTCGCTTGGAGAGCCAATCATATGGAAGGGGCTATCCTGGTTGGGGCTAGCGAGGACGAAATACTTGCCTCATTTGGCAAGCGCGGTGGGCGCCAGCCTACTGCCTAAAAGGGTTAGGGTCAGCATCGCCTCTTTCATCGGTCTCTGTCTACGGACATGTTTCATGTCATCATCCACGACATTCCAGCTTAGGAAAGGAGTCTCCTTTCGGGCAGTCGATGTGTGGCTGAGGATGATGCTTGATAGCCTGATATCTGCGGCTCTCAAGCAATAGGCTAGATCGATCTTTTCCACACATCTGGCCGATCCACATCTTCTAAGACTGGCAACATACGGATCGACTCTCCTAAACATTTTTCACTTAATCAGGGAGTACATCGAATCCATCAACCGTGCAGCGACAAAAATGCCTTTTTGTTGTCGTCCGAGCAAATTTTGTCTTGGGTGCCGCCAGAGACGCATCAAAGTAGGCGAGCTTCCGCAGCAGGACAAGGAACCTTGCTGACTTGACAGTGTGACATGGCCATCCCTGCCTGCTCCCAGTGTATAAGAGCTGGCAAGGAATGTGTGGGCTACCGGGATGAGCTCCCTCTGTTGTTCCGAGACGAGAATGATCGCACCATCAGACGAGCCACAGCTGTCAAGGTCCGATCCAGAGCTCAAAGAAAGGATGCAGGGTCCGATGCCGCTTCTTTACCTGATCTGCAGCTTATGAGGTCTGGTCATTGGACTACCACGGCTACTTCATTACCCTCAACCTTGCCATGCCTTGACATGGACAACCTTGGGCTTCAAGTCTTCGTCTATCACTTCTCCACTTACGCCTGGGCCGGCCGGTGCCCACCTCAGCCCATTGCATCTCCTTTTATGCACCGGATCAGTGAAAACGAGACGTTGAGAAGTGCKGTCGCTTCGGTCGGTTTAGCTGCTCTCTCGAATATTCGAAAGGACGAGGCCATCTTACGTGGAGCACGCCAGCGGTATGGACAAGCCATCAGAGTAATCCAGAACACATTGCGATCTAAGAAGGCTTACCTACTGGAGGGTACCATGAAGATGATTTTGATGGTGGCTCTATTTGAGGTACGCAGCTACCAATCCCCCTGTAGGGGATAATGATTCTGATCGTCCGTCGATACAGATTGTCGACGCCACCCCGACATCAAAGCTATCGTGGATTGTGCATTTGCAAGGTGCAGCAGCCTTGCGGAATCGGTCACCGCGTGACTTCTTCCGCAAGAACCATCGCTCTCATATCATGTTCACATTTACTTGGATTTTCAAATACTTTCAGACCGGAGGACGCTTTCCGCTGGAGTTAGAAAATTGGTCTGCGCCGGATATACCGGTTGAGGCCGACGATGACTTTCCTGCCATTTCACTGATCGAGATCCTCCTCAAATTCATCCGTCTGCAGGCCTGCCTCGCTGATCGCAATGATCAACCATTAGGCAACGCTTTGACGGATGCACTGGCCTGCGAAATGCAACTCGAGGTCTGGTCAACTAGCCTTCCTGCCAAGTTTGGTTACATGGAGAAAGTTTCAACAGACACCTCACAATACTTCCATGGTCGCTTCCACCTTTATGAGGACGTCTGGGCTTCGCGCATTTTAATACACTATCTCGTGGGCCGCCTCCTGGTGAATGAGCTGATATTACACCTGGCGCCCCTATACGCTACCCCAACGGAGCAAATACTACGGACGGCCCAAGCCAGCCGTACGATTATTCAGATGGCTGTCGATATTTGCGTAGCTGCCGCAAGTCAGCCTCTGTTTCTGGATTATATGAGTCTCAACAGAAGAGATTATATGAGCCTCAACAGAAACGACGCAATGCCTCCGCTTAGTGGTGTCTTCATGTTGATGTACCCCCTTGCGGTGGCTGCAACTGCGACTGGGGTGTCAGATGACCTCCATGAATGGGTGTTGCATACTCTCGATCATATCGGTCAGACCATGGGTATCCGTCAGGCTTTGTTGATGAAGGCCGAGGTAGCACAGTCCTATCAGCACAGGTCCAAAAGTCAAATATGCTGTCATCCCGCACAGGCTTCATCGAGTCTGGAAAATCCATGTCTGCAAATGACAATGCATGCTTAAGTTGACTGACACCACGCATGTACCGGGCTCGAGAGCCACTCCTCAGTCGACATACTTTGCGACATCGCGCGAACCGTACAAATCATTCCAGTGTGCGAATAATCCGTCCTTCTCAAAGTAGTGGAGAACGGAGGTCAAATGACATTAGAAGAGGATGCCAGGAGTCATGAGGGTACTCTGTCAACCACTGCAATCCCAACATAAGTTGCACCCTTGCACAGACATTCTGCAGGCCTTGTCGCTTGCCATAGGTGTGGACAAGTACCTGTAACGTGTCTAGCCGACCGTGCGAGCCGTCGTCCAAATGAAACTGAAGAACCATCAGTGTGTGCAAGCAAACACCACAGTGGTTTCTGCCAAACCCTGTGAATCTGAGCGTCTCGAACCGAACTCAGAAGTGCAGCCATCTTGTTGATGATCAAGCTTAGGAGCTTGACACCTGCTTACAGTATATGATCTCTAAATATCTTTTGGAGCCATGACCCTCCGCCTCACTGCTTAGTTAGATTCCAGTATCGAAGACCTTTCAAGGGCTTCAGAACAGTGTGGCTCCAAAACGAGACTAAAAAAAGATACATGGGCTGTCACAATTTTAGATACCTGGAGGATGGGCACAGCATCATTATGCAGCAAGAGTTGGCAATTCTCAATATCCAACACTAGATCCTCAAGACGTTGATATTCACCGTCAACAGTCACTCGATCTGAAAGGTTGACCTCGGCCCATGCTCCAAAAGAAGTCTTACCCTTCAAACCATTATGGCTGAAGCTGCTTTTTGGAGAGCAATTGCACAAACTGAAAAGTATGGTTCCTTGATTGCACCACCCAATTAGAAGACGAAGAACCGAAAGTCTTTTGGGCCGTATATCTACATATTTGCCATGAACAATAGCAGGTGCTTTCATTTTGAACGCTTGGCCGAAGAAAAGACATGTGGAAATAAAGACAATATTGAAATGGAGAAGTTGGATGCTGAGCGACTATAGAGCGACTGGACCTGGATGAATACGTCTGATACAATAGAAAGCCAATTAAGCCGTTTGGCAAGACCCAGATCGGTGAACCTGGCAACCAGCTACTTCAGGGTCACTGAGGGGATTCTGAATCCGCCTTTGGAGTAACAAGAGAGTCGCCCATGTGTCGCTCTCCATGCACCGAGAGCTTTGTAACGACCATTGAAAGCATAATAGAGGCCGACAATGTTCATATCGCCGAGTTCTGTGTCCACCTCGCGCGAAATATTGATGGCGGGTTGACGGACAATAGGCTGTATAATATACTGAAATTGGTGAGGATAAAGTCGCGGATCCTGCATATCAGCAAGCAGACGTTCCCATTCCTCGCCCAAAAGCTCGTCTCCGAACAAAATACCGACACTTTCCGCATCACGACATGGCTTGATAATGTACTCGTTCTTTAGGTCTGGGTTGCTGCGACTTTGTGAGATTAAGGTTTTTAGTTCGGAAGACCCAGGAAGAATTGTCGGAACAATTCCATCTCGCAAGATGCGTGCTTGTTCAGCGGTGAGAACCTTGTAGTCATTGACCAGGGTGTCAAGCTCCTGGAGAACGACCCCTAAAATCCGCTTGTCGGCTACTAGGAGAATAGTTCGAATATCGTTCACGCACCGGAGTGCTATATGCTGGAGCATCTCCATGCTTAGACGGCGGAACTCGTCCTGGTACAAGTATAGTCCGACCTGACGGACTGGCTCAAGGCTGTCATGGGTGGGATCCTGACTAGCAGTTGTTCCAAGTTGGGGCTTGCTGCATACTGCATACAGGCTGTACCCAGTAGGAGACGTGTCATCAGGGAGGAGACGCAGATCAGAGGGGGTAATGACCCTTGCTGAGACTCCCGCTCGCTCTCTCAATACTTTGCAGATTGCCTCCGACAATTTCGGCTTACCCCAGCCAACCAACATGTGGAACGGCAAGCTGGGATCGAAAAGACCGCAAAGACAATCAAGCAAATGTTCAGGATCAGCTGTTGGCTGTAACACAGGGTGATCCGAAAGCATTCGAGAACAAGCTGTAAGGGCTTGCATTGAATACATGAGGGAGTTTTGGAAAAACCGTGCATTGATTTCGCAGATGCGAAATGATAAATCTCCCTCCTTTGTATTCGAGAGCAGGATATCCGGCCTCCAGTGTCCCATGCGTTCTTTAAACAGTGGGATAACGCCCTCTTTGGATTTTCGGTGTATCCACTGTTGCGTCAGAAGTCAGCAAGGTTTCTGTGCTCTGGGATAGTACGCCTACCCGAAGAAGAGCATCCTCATGAGGCTGCAGCGGCATGCGTTGGCACAGCGAATCGCTCGGCTCAGCCCACCGCTCCACGATATTGGCCACCGCGATCGCAAGTGCCTCTTGCAGCTGCTTTGCGTTCTCGACAAAATATTCCGGGACTAGGAGAGGGTACGGGGACACACGATCGGCATCACTCCATTCTTTGCCAACGTGAGGGTGTGGCGTAGTGAAAGCTGACTTAAACAAGTCTTCTTCATGCTGTTGTCTGTCGGGATGTAGGTCGTCCACGACCACAAGCTGACCTTGCCTGGATGCTGCTACTGCGATCTGCTTTAACTGGGGCAATGTGCCTGTACTTCCCATATTGCGAGACGCTGTCTGGGCTAGAAGAGGTGAATGGATGGGGGAGAAAGGCAGAGAGTGAGACAGAAGGGGAAGATAATGATATGAAACAAAATTCTAAAGAAAGGTGATGCTTGCAAGTCGGGCGGTTGAGGCCTTTTCAACTTGTGGTTTCATATCTACATGCATCCCTTTGCCTGGGTCAATATCTTACTTGAAATAACAGGAGTTAGTTGGGAGCAATGAAATTGACAAGAAGACCCAGCTGGATCGACATGGCAACCTCTGTGGAAATAAATACCAGTAAAGACAACTGTAATGACAAATGGTATCAATCAATTCCGCATACAGAAGACGGGCAGAATTTGCAAAAATGTGTGCCGCTTTCCACCCTCAGCCCTCCTCATAATGATTGGTGCATAACATGGAACAGGTCAAAACAAAAGAAAAAGAAATATGCAACAGCTGGGGTTTACTAGTATTGAACAGAGTTCTCCGCTATCCAAACGGCAAAATATTGACCGATCCAGTTCGGTTTGTTGGGAACACATGGGATGGAGACCTGTCAAACATTGTAGGGGCTTAGGACTTCTCGTCTTTGATGGCTGGCATTATGATATATACGGGTCGGGGGCCAAAATGTGGTATCGCCTCGTGGTCTTCTTTATTTCTCCAATTGGCGAAGCTCAAGTGCTCAGACTTTTATGTTCCACAGGTATCCGTGAACATAGATAGAATGTATATAGGCTATTGGCACGTCAGAGGAATAACTGCGGGAATGCTAAAGGCACCGTGGAATCGAGAGCAAACGCTCCCGCTGTCAGCCCTCCAGACGCCCAACCCAGCGAAACAGCCACCAATGGCATGATATGTTCCCGTCATGCGGCATTGTTGCGGCTCGCTATCATCACACAGCGTCAAACCAAATAAAGCCTGCTCAATAAAAGGCTGCACAACGTATCTCTTGTCAGCAGGCAGTAATGGGTCCGCCAGCCACTCAAGGAGACCCTCAAACTCCTTCTGCCCCAAGTCTTTCCCAAGCAAGATTCCCATTCCGCGGTGTCCTCGGGCAGGTTTGAGAAGATAGCTATCCTTAGATACGGAACCCTCGCGGATCTGCCGCAAGAGGAGTCGAATGTCATCGGAGCTGGGCAAAATGGTATGCACGATGCCCTGTCGGAGGATCTCCGCCTGGTCAGCCGTAAAGACGTGCTGCTTGTGCACGAGAGCGTCCAGCTCTTGCCGGATTATGCCGAGCATGCGTTTGTCGCTGACCAGGAAGATGTTGCGCAGGTCGCAGATTCCATCCACGGCGAGCTGCTGTAGCACTTCCGAGGAGATGTCGCTGTAATCCTGATGCGACAGCTGGAGTCCGACTTGATAGATTCGTTCCAGAGGCTCGCCTGTGGGGGATGCGATTCCCTGGCCGTCTGGACTTTCTGCGGATCCGGCCGAGGCTACGCAACACAGAATCCGACCCGTCGGGGATGAAGAATCCGGCGCGAGACGTAGGTCTGTCGCGCGGATCACTCGCGGTATCTTGCCTGTTCGCTTTTTGTAGAAGGAACTGAACGCGTCGATGGGGTCAGTGATACCCTCGTGCCAGATAACATGGAGAGGGAGGTCCGGATTGAAGAGCGAGACCAGACTGTCCACCATCTTGTCCGCGGTCGAAGCGAGTTCTAACCCATCCGGAAGTGCTATTTCGCTTGCAGCCGCTGCATGGAACATACAGACGCTCTTGATCATCGAGTTGAAGGGAGAACGAGCGTTGATCTCGCAGATCTTGAACGGTAAGCTGGTGTTGGAATCTGCCCCTGCCGGGAGGAGCAGGTCCGGCCTCCAGTGGAGCGGGCGCTCATTGTAACGTGGCATCAGGCTCTGTTTCGACCTTTCATGAACCCACTAGACATCGGTTATTGTAAGCCTTGCGGCACAGTGAACACAGGAGGGTGCCGACCTTCAATACACTCTCCTCGTGCGGTTCCAATGGCATGCGACGGGGAAAGTCGGCTTCACTGTCCTCCCACCATCGATCCAGGATGTTTGATATAGCAACAAACAGCAGATGCTGAAATTCTTCCAGGTGTTCAATGAAGCTTCTCGGCATGAGAATAGGGTGCGGTGATATCTTCTCCGCGTACATTGAGGACAGTTCCATGTCGCTGATGAAGCGCAACATTGCGGCGTCGTATGCATCGCGCTCCACTAGACGGTCACCATGAGCTGCGTCAATTGACGAGGTTGGAGCTGCAACGCTTTTCGTTGCCTTTAAAGAAATTTGGTACATAGTAGTGGTTGCGGTAGTTGTTTCACTGTAGATCAGGTCTTATGGAGTGCTTAAAGGGAATCAAGAAGAACGCAATGAATTCTGCTTTCATATGGATAATATACTCTTATTACACTTGAGATGTTCAAAGTACAGTTCCTCTTCCAAGCTATCAAGGGCCTGACTAAAAGGAATGGTTGGCGATGGATCTCTGGATCTTGGGTGGAAATAATGGGTTGATTCCATGCCGTGGGGCATGGCATCCTGGGACCAACATTGCGGACCAACATTGCAATGGAAAAGAGTGGTATTTTTGCAATCAATACCTGTCACATGTAAATTACACGGAAAATGGTATGAAAGATTGGGTATGCAAGATCCTGGCTTAGATCCTACCGCTCTTCAGCTACGCCTCGTATGCGACCCGTGCCTCGTTACTAAGGGAACTACAGGAGATAGGTCACAATCATCTTTTGCTTATGGTTTCGGAATTAATAATTCAAACTCTCAAAGTTTGGCAAATTTTCAGGATCACGACTTGATTTTGATCATAGTCACCCCGTTGAAAATTGGAAGCAAGAGGACATCCAGTCGAGGATGCTAGACAACCTTGTTAGCATTGTACTTGGAACTCTGCCCCGGAGAGAGCATACCTTGACTGCCCATTCATTGAACTCATGCACATTATCGGCATGCTGAAGGCTGTATTCAATATCTTCCCGCGCCGAATGGGKGTTCGCAGGCGATCTATCTGCCACCAGCCCGAGATGGATCGCTGTCATATCCATTACTCCCTGACCTATACAGAGCAGTGACAGGGGATACATACTGTCATCCGCAAGGATAATCCCATTTTCCGCCAGAAGATGCCTCTCCAGAATAATCTCCACGTACTCGATATACTCCGCCTTCCGAGCGTCGACGTAGATGATATCAAATGGCGCAGCGTTGATCTCTCGCAACCTTCACCATACCTTAGCTGCATTTGTCCTAAAGTTCACGGCTCACTCACGTCTGTAGCGCAGGTCCCTCGACCAGTTGAATCTTTCCCTCCGGATCGTACTTGGCGAACGCTTCCTTGCTTGCCGCAATCGCCCGGGGACCGGCCTCACACGTCCACACCTCCCCGCCTACGGCCTTCATCCCCTCCTTCCACGCCAGCGCGCTGTATCCCGTGAACGTCCCGATCTCGAGCACCCGTCTCGCGCGGCGGTCGCTCGCGAGAAAGATGCACATTTGGGCCTGGAGCGGACAGCACATCATATACGAGGTCTGGAACTTTTCGACTGTCCATGCTGCGTGCTCGGCGAAGAGGGGTGGGAGACCTGTGGAATGGGAGTAGCAGTACTTGTCGACTGTGCTTGCAGTTTGATCTGGGAAGGGAATGATACTCTCGTACATTTTTGTGTGGGCTGAGGCGATATCTCTTCTGTGCAAATGGGAATTGACAGCGGCCAGGAGTGTTTCTGCAGAGTTATGTATAGTGATGGCTGCACAGAGTAATTCAGTAGATTAATTGAGTATTCTTCTAAACATGTAAGCACATACAATAATGATACACCTTTTACTTACACTGCTTGAGGATTGATGCCAGCGGGTCTGGTCTACATTGCAGCTGGGGTCACTGTACAGCCATGCACGCCTCGGAAGTTTTGATCTGTGTAATACTTGCACTCGATTCTCCAAGGCTACTTAATACGGTACGGTCTTGAGTAGAATCGGCATTCGTCCTGCATTGGTATGAAAATTCGTCCTGTATTTATGGCTGAATTTAAAGACAATAACCATAGATCGGTTGAGGATCGGCCCGCCACAAGCCGAAAACAGGTCTCAATCTTTGACTACCGCAGAGCTATTGATTTTTAGCCTGTATTTTTTGGGCCACTGGAAAGATACAGGAGTCGAATTCATCTGATGAGCTCTTGCCGATCTCAAGCTATGCATGCTTCATCACCTCAAAAATCGGCTGCAGATAGCCTGTCAATCCTGCAACATCCTCCAGCTCGCCACACCATCCCACATACTGGTCTGGGCGAACCAGCACCACACCGCCCCGTTCGCTGATCCCAGCCTCCTCATAGCTCGTCTGCATGTCGCAATAGACCCGGTTGTAGTCTCTTCCCGTGGGCTCATAAACAGGGAAGAAAATGTTCGCCATGCTCGCAAGCTCAATCGCTGTCTTGTGGGTCCGGTGCACGGCAATAACATTGAACTTTCCCATCGAGGCCGGGACAATCTGTTCCTCGATTTGCTCCAGCGCAGCGCCAAAGGTGTTGAATCGATTCAGTTCCTCTGGCTGGGAGAGATCTCCAGCAAAAACAATGACGTGAAATCTTCCTTCGCTTTTGAGAAGTGATTGTATTGAATAGGCTTTCCCTGTTGCATGATTAGACACGTTCAACTGCGGGAAGCGCTTCCCTGGTGTCACAGCGTCAGGCCTGCGTTCTTTTTCCGTTGCTGCGGTAAGAAGCGGGTCTTGGTAGTGGACGGCAAAGCCTTGCATGGAAGGCTGTAAGGCCTCCTCGCGCTCCTGCATCCAGGCCGGCTCTGAGCCTGTGACAGTGACCGCGTCGAAGAGCTGCAGATGAAAGCGATCTGTTTCAATCAGTTCTTCCGCAACAGGGCGTCGCTCTGTCTCGTAGGTTGATAGAATAGCAGGGTTCAGTTGTTTTTTGAGCACTCCGGCGAGTTTCCATCCCAGATTGTACGAGTCTCTTGGTGTAGCATTAGTATGGGAGCTGCAAATCGTCAGTCAGTAGAGAAAGAGGCACATACTGCATGCTGATGTTCATGCCTAGACCAACCAGCGGAGAGTGGTTGTGCACAGCATCGCCGACGAGGAAGACGCGATCATGCTTGGTCATCCCATTGCTTAAATAGTGAGCTACAGTATAGCTTGACCACCTACACTCTTTGGTGGTTAGTAGAAGTCACAACAGCGACATAATAAGCTTATAACCCACCATTCACAACGCGTGACAGTAAACTACAAAGGTCATGATTAGCGCAATTTTGCTATCTCATTCGGAATCACTCACTGTATAAGGCCTCAGCAGGCTCCGTAGTTTCTGAATAATGAGCTCTTGCGTAATGGACGCAGCAGGAAACTCCTCCTCATCGGCGCGATTTAGCTGGACGTAGAAACGGGTCAGGCCGCGCTCCCGCCGAAGGAAGAAGAGTCCTCCTTCGCCGTAGCTGTTGACTGTCGTGCATATCCGGATGCTGTAAGTACATCAGTGACCTCCAGCTCAAATTGGATTGCCGTCAACTTACTCTGGAAAGTCCGACACAACGACCAGATCCGTGACAGCCCAGACGGATCGAGTCCGCGTCCCCTCCATCCGGAATCCCAGTTGCTTCCTGGTCCACGAGCGTGCTCCATCCGCCCCAATGACATATTTCGCCCGGACCAGTTCCTCGACACCGTCATCATGGCGCAGACTAAGCACACAGGGATGACTGTCTGGATCACCCAGCGCATCTTCATTGACAACAAGTGAGGTCGGCGCAGTTTCATATTCGATCCGAACAAAAGGTTGCTCTGAGATATGCTCCTTGATGATCCGTTCTATGATGCCCTGCTGTAGCAGTCCCGGCCCCCATCTGTGTGCATCATGAGATACCCGCTCGACAAGTTCCAATAAAAAACTTACCTGCAGCGCACCGGGGTAGGATTATCCATCCGATCGGATCTGGCGAGAGTTCCCTCGGCGTTTCGACACCAAAGCGCCCACCCCGTGATGGGCTCCCATACCTGCGTGATCTCCTGATCGAGGCCGAAACTCTCGAACATCTCCATTGAGCGTGGGTGGATACTGTGCCTCGAGTGAGCTGCGTCGTTTTTCAGGAAAGCTGAGCGTAGGCTTACCCGTCCGCACCGCCAACCCGAAGCTGATATGGTCGTTGCTCGACAAGGCGTGTGGTGACACCGCATTTGGTCATCCACATGGCGGCCATTAGGCTGGGAGCCGTCAGTACTGGTCTATCATGGGTTCCGTGTTCCCACGAAGAGATTTCTGCAGAGAACCTTACCCTGCCGGGCCCTATGGCGAGTAAGTACCAATATGATCTTGCGTGTGAGGCAACTTACCGCCCCTATAATCAACACATCCACCGCAGACTCTTTCTTGGTCATCTTAGTGAAAATTAGTCAAGGTCTCCTGCAGAGATGCTTGGACTACTTTTGCTGGCTCTGATAGACTTTGAGAGTCGTGATGTCTGTGTATAATCACAACTAGTAGACCCGATACCAAGCAGCAGACCTTAACCGCGACGGCTTAAAGGGTGCCTGGTTCATGGATGTGCCTCACAAGCCTTATTCCACAGGACAGCATTTCGCCGATCCACTTGTGACAATACAGGAACAGTATGCATTATGGCAGTACTCATCACTCCTAGTACCCAGCTCATCTTTCCATTTAGAGGACTCTTTATCAATTTACGTGATCGTTATGTGGTGTAATACAATACAGGAATGACACTGAATCAATTGAAAATACATAATCTTCAAGCTTTACGACTGAAAACGAGTGTAATGTAATAACCTCGATGTATCCCTATGTTTGTTTCCTTATATACTCCTAAATCAGGCACTCTGTAATGCTATAGGCTATATAGTATATGGCTGCAAAATCAACATCTCTGACCCATCTTCTCTCTCATTTCCACATCTTGCAACGCCCGACCAACCCGCTCAGCCAAATCGCCATAATCCTCCAGCCCAACGCTCAGCCGCACAATATGCTTCGGGACCCCATGCGCCGCCGCCCAGTCCTGTTCCTTCGCATGCGCCAGCGCCGAATACGGGATGGAAATCGACAAATTCGTGCCGACAGTAGGCCCCTTCCACACATCAAGGTTGTCGTAGAAGACCACCGCGCTCGCGGGCTCGCGGAAGACGACGCTGAGGAGGAATCCGTATCCGCCGTCGGGGCGGCGGTACTGCTCGTACAGAGGGGCGGTGGCGACCGTGGTGGGATAGTTGACGGATTCGACGGATGGATGGGACTTGAGGAAATTGGCAATCTGCAGGGCGGTCGTGCTGCATTTGTGGACGCGGGCTGCGAAGTCGGAGGAGTTGTGCGCCATTGTCTTTGCATCGAGGGGGAAGTAGAGGTCCTCGTAGGTTTTGTTTAGAAGGGCACGGAGAGAGCTGTAGCGGCGGGAGTTGGGGTTGGTCATGAGGCTGTAGTGGTTAATATCGGCAGAACGAGCTGTGAGTGTCCAACAGGTTGAATGCATACCTCCCTCCCATGACGTTGCCTGCGCCGCTGAAGATCTTGGTCAAGCTGGTGACGATGACATCGACATATGGCAGGATATCCACGTTGACGGACGTGCCAAGTGTATCATCACACACGACGACGAAGCCAAATCGGTTGGCGAGATCTCGGATGCGGTGCAAATCCGGCGTAGACAATAGAGGATTGGACGTGATCTCGCAGAACAGCACCGTGTATCGAGTCCCTGAAACCAGCAAGGACTCGAGTGTATCGAGATCCTCCTTAGAGCCATGGCCGTACATGGTGTAGCGCTTGAACCCACAGCCTTGTACGCAATGAGGAGTACCGGAGTACGGCCACCTATCATCTCATCAGCATATTACCTTGTGCAAGATGATTCATATTGAGTGACTCACCCGTACACCACAGCGCCAGAGTCCTCCGATGTCCGAGCGAGCGCGCGGGCAATGGCGCTGATTGCAGCCATCCCAGTTGCATAGAGAAATACATCGTCATTTCCGACGGGTTTCAAGGCTGGATCTGCTGATGTCGCTGAGCTGGCAAGCCTGGACTTGATATCCATTTTGTCTTGGGTAGAGAAGGCAATCCACTCTGGAATGGTCATGGCACTCAGATCATGGGAAGCTGGACCCACAGTCTGATATTCAGAGTGATCCGAATCAGAATTCATGAAGGAAAACAGAGATACGCAGAACTCGGCATGTCTGCTGGAGATGCCATCTCCGAACCATTCCCAGAACTCGAACGCCACTTCTTCGTGACTTCCCTGAAACAAGACGACTGAGAACGCAGCCCATTTTGCCATCTCAGGAACTGCCTCACGAGGAAGCTGGAACCGCGCCATGTGCGCCGATACTGAGGGATCTGCTTTCTGTAGTCTTGCGACAAAACGCTCAGCAGCTTCCTGGGATGGAAACGCTCGACACACCGTCTGCACCGGGCACTTGAATCTGGCCAGAACGGCATCGTGCAACCCTCTCACATAGTTATGAATATCAAACCTGGAAAAGATTGTCAGATATCGAAAACATTACTAGGCTAGAGCGCAGAGATGCGGTCAGGTACAACCTAGGATAGCTGGTTCGTAGTTGGCGTATAGCCCAGTCCGCACCGGCCATTACGGCAGTCACAGCCTCCCAGGCGGGCAGGGAAACGCTTATAGCCTGAAACGTGTCAGTATGACGCTGTAGCCATCGATGTTAGATTGACGTACGTGAGGTTCATTTGGTGGTTGAGGAGCTCCCAGTGGCAGGGTGCAAGAACCAGAGAAGGAAATACGGTCACTCCCATGTTGAGCCGATGCAGGGCCCAGTCCATCCATTATCAAAGCTGTCTCTTGTGTCTGGTGATACTGAGGTTATCTGTGGTCAAGGTCGCGTTCGGGCAGGGCGGTCCCTAGATCAGCAGTGACCTTTGGAGGGCAACTCGAACGTAAATGCGTCTTCGATCCTGGACCTGCTGGGAAACTGCAGATCTTGCCTTAAACCTTCTCCAAGCTCAGGTACGAGGTACCGGTATTGAGGTAATTTTCAATTCGATTACTCCTTCGCCATCGACATCACCACACATGGCACAAGGGATGAATCTACAGCTGCTGTGGATCCTCGCAGCACCTATTCTCCACTGGTTGCTGAGAGCATCAACTCTGAACAAGGTCGGCGCCAATAGAATGATACCATTGACGGTGTCTCAAGCCCATGCCATGAAAATAATTATGCAACAATCAGGATCCGTAAAGATGGCTGCTATGTCTTAGTACGTAGAGTTCCTGCAGCCACATCTCACTCTCCTGCCGCTCAATAGTAGAGTTAGACAGACATATTGTCTAGTCGACGAGGTAGAATACATCACATAGGCTGCAAATTCCCATATCTTATCTTCTCCGATAATGCGAATATCACACAGACATTCCAGAAAGCTAGATACCATGGACGACAGTATCCCAGTTGCCGACCTCCAGCACCAAGCTGGATCCCTAGCCGCCATTGCCTTTCACAATATCGAACACTGCACACAAAAGATCTCGTCTGCGATCCGAGGATATCACCATCTCCCCAATACGGGGGCTGAACACAGCAACAACGACGAGGCCCATGACGCAGCGAAATATACCAAGGCATTCATCAAAGGCCGCAAGGTGGCCGTCAAGGTCGCCAACCTCATTAACCGTGGCAAAACTACTCACCCAGTCCCGTTGAGGGTGTCTGGCAGCGGGTTGGTCGGAGGGTCACCCTGTGAAGGGCACGCGCGCCTGATCGAGGGAATTACCTGGTTCGAAAAGACTCAATTCAATCACCAGTCCCTCAGGCCCGAAAGAAATCATCCCACAGCCACACATTACCTGCATTTTTCAACTCCACTGGCGCAGATTATTCCTGGGGCAGAAGGGAGGACGCAACCCATGGACCTCGTGCAGGATATCACCGTTATCTCGGGTATGTGCCTCTGGGCATCAAGGATCATCCAGTCGAGTATGCCACGGKGTCAACGGCTCGACATATCCAGACTCCAATCTGCCAAAGTCACCCTATACGAGGTTGAATACCTCGCTCGCGCGGTCCCAGTCATCGCCGACCTGGCTGCGGTACTATCCGCAAATAATCAATACCAGCCAACGCCACTGAGCATCCGCCTCGACATCCCCAGCTTCCACTACTACCACTCCCTCGAGGAGCGTCTCCGTGACGGATGCTGCACCTTCCCCGAGGCACTGCAATGGATGCACGCCGTCGAGGAGCGCCACCACCAGCTGTCGCGGGTATTCCGCCGCCTCGTCGACCACGAGCTATCCCGGCGGTTGGGTGGGACTCCTCACCGTCGGAAACTGGATATCCAGGTCTCACCTTTAGCGGACCTGGTATGCCAACAGATCTGTGACTCCTTGGCCAACAGCATCCTCCCCGATCTGGATGATATCCTGCGCGTTCTAGAGACGGAAGACGCTACCTGGGCCCGTTTCTACGCGCTGGTCCCGAAGAACGAGCGGGTGACCGACTTCCGGGGTCTGAGCTATCTTTTCTACGTGTACCAGGTACTGAGGCCGGCTGTGGAAGAAACTCAATGCGCCGCAGAAAGTGGCAATGGCGACGCAGCAACAAAATTACTGATCAGTGTCGATGACGCGTTCGAGCGCCGGATCTACTCGCGGAGTCAGAAACTGCTGAAGAAGCTGCGGGCATCGCTGCCAGCATCTGCGGCTGCCCCTCATCTACTCGAGGTTTATCTATGTCGACGTATATTTATCAACAGCAATGAGACAGGGTCGAATCTCTACCTGGATGACCCGTCGCCTGAGCCATTTCTGTTGCGACTGTGCCAAGGACTGGCTGCCGAGGAGAAGCAGAAGCAGCAACTTGTCCGAGCTCAGGATCAGGATCGACATCAATGGCGCTCTGAGACGGTCAAGCTGGATGCATTCGATGTGGTTGAGGGGTTGTATGGATCTTACCTGGCTGAAGTGCTCAAGGACTTGTTTGCAGAGGTGGGGCTGGGAGCTTAGCGCGGACGCCTTCGCTTTGGAGTAATGGTAATACGGAGTATACAGCGGAATTCTTAACTGGTTTTTGTGACTTGCAAAAAGTGTCGCGTATCTTTCAAGTTACCGTACGGTTATAACGCCATCTGGTACTTACCTGCACGTCGTTCCTCGATTAGGCAAGGGGTAAGATAAAAATCCTCTATGCCAAGGAAGGAATGCGAGGTCCGGACTGTGAACCCAGCTTGCCGGATGAACTGAAGTTTTGCCAGATCTCACGGTAAATGCGGCCCAGACCATAAAATGTCTCGATCTGCAACCTGCAGTGTGATGTTCCCAACTTCCCAGATGCGTTCATGCAGATCTCTTGAGGCCCACAGGGCTGACCGACGAATTGGGCGCCAGAATAACGCACCGTGTTACTGGGATCAGCCAGCCAAGGTCCTGGGTTAGCCTATCGTCAAACTGCAGACAGAGCCGATACGTAGTCTGTGCGAGATCTGACAGGTTGCGCAGTGGACTGTGACAGCAAAGTGATACATACATACAGGGGGCATGAATTGACTTTGCCCAAGTGGCGACACGGAACCGCTTCATGCTGGAGATTGGAACGAACCGCTCTAATGCCCGGAAGTGCGTAGGATAGGTCAACCAGAAGCTGAGGGAATTCAACTAAGGGCGGGCCACAAGTCAATAGTTACTCAATACGCGGTTCGCCGATCATCGAATAATACTCGATGTAGAGTATATTGTCTCTAATCCATGATGTTCACATCCTGCCTTCTCCTTTCGTCATATGTCTACGTGGCAAGATCTCCGGTCCACATCTAATAGAATGGCGGCAGCCTACTGACACGTTCGTTGCGCTATTCCCCTGTTCTCGAATCTGTCCCCAGTCAATAGCTCGAATTGATCTCGCAAGGCGGATAGCTCCCTAGCTGGATCACAGCACAAGTCCATATGTGAATCCCAGTATCTGTAACTTGGTAGAACTCCAGTAATCCAAAGAATGTGATTTCCGCCAGTCTACTCCTTCCAAACATCGATTGGGCCCTACTCAATCTGCAAAGATTAACAGACTTTGCTTGACCGCTATGGTTCTTGTGTAGTTCCTACCAAGTTGCTCTACTTTCGAAGTTCAAGCTCTACGGAGACTTGCTAATGGAGTCCACTCCTCAGATTCTACCTGGGCTTCAGGAACCCTTGTTTGGTCAGCGAAATAGCTCTGTTCTGTTCCTGACGCAAAATGTGTCTCCCGCGCGGGTGAGCGCAGTGGGACTACTTGCCGTCATCTTGCTGGGAGCATACGCAGACAGGTATCTGATCCCAATAATATGGCGCAGCAAGCGTAAAACAATGCGTCTACTGACCGAGTTCTACGCGGATCAAGACGGAGTGGCGACGGCGGATTCTATCAAAAAGGCCTCAGCCTCAGCGTGGAATATCCACCGCCTGACGGGGGCATGTGTTGGACTTGGTGGCGGGATCTCCATCGCGAAGATTGCACTGTCTCTGAGACTTCAACGGCGCGCTGTGTCGGTGATAGACTCGTTGCAAGTTGTTATCTGGGTGAGTTGACATTTGTACCGGATAAGCAATCCAACTAATAAAGTCGAATCAACAGGCATTTCTGGGCCTGCAATGTAGCGCTCTGTTTCTCCGTCTCCCGGCTCCTGCACCTTACTCAATTGCATTGCGCGCTGCGCTTAGTTGCGCGGTGGCGGTCATTGTCCTCTTCGTGCAGCTAAATGACCTTTACGATGCAAATGAACATTTGACGCTGGAAAGCCTCCTCATCGGGCTTCAAATTGCTGCGAGTCTCTGCGCAATTGTCTCGAATCTCCTGGTCCCGCGCCGGCCCGATTTATTTCACCACGGGACTCCCGTGGATCGAGAATACTCGACCTCCTACCTGGGATGGCTGAGCTTCAGCTGGATAGCGCCATGGCTGAAAACGATGAAAACATGCACAGTGCGGATCAGCAACTTGCCCCAGCTCGGCTACAGCTTGCGGGCTGAGAGTGCACTCCGCACATGCTTTCAGATGATGAGCGGTGGAACTGCCGGCGCTCAAGGGTTATGGGTGGTGATTCTACGGTCCGAGCTTGGTCTTCTGTCCTGGCAGGGGATCATCACGCTGAGCTCATCCCTCCTGGGATTCGTGCCCCAGTTCGCCGTGATGAGGATTCTCGCGACGCTAGAGAACGACCGGCAGGGTGAAAGAGACGAGGCCCGCTTATACACGTTCCTCGTCCTTCTCTGCGCTTCAACCATGGTAACAGCTATCCTGGATAGCTTGAAGTATTGGATCTCGTACGGCAAGCTTTCCATCCGCGTGCAGCAGCGGCTGACAGTAGCCCTCTTCGACAAGGCCGTTCGCCGGAATGTAGGCCCGGCATGCTCGTCGAAGACAGGCAGAGCGAAGGGAAATAATGTCGACGGTCCGTTGAATCCTATCAGCTTGGCGGCGGTGGATGCGAAGACCGTCGCAGACTTCGTCAGCATGACCTTTCAGCTCTACGAAACGCCGGCAAAGCTGCTTGTGGCATCAGTTTTCCTGTGGAATCTTTTGGGTTGGGAAGGCCTGCTGGCCTGTGGGATCGTCCTCGTTCTCACAGGCTGCGGCAACTCGTACACTGTCAAGAGATATTCTCAGAGTCAGCGCAATCTGCACCAGTCCCGCGACCAAAGATTGACTCTCGTCACGGAGGTGCTACGGGGCATCCAGCATGTCAAGTTCGCCGCCCTTGAGGACCGGTGGGAAGGGCGAGTCGGTGACCTGCGCGGCCAGGAGATGCGCGCGCAATGGTCCGCGTATCTGTGGCAGACCTTCCTGTTCTCTCTGTACTTTCTGAGTCCGATTCTGCTCTCGGTGGCGGGTCTGGGGGTGGCACTGCTGAGAAACCGTGATCTGACTGCGACCACTGCCTTCACGACGATCACTGTGCTGAATTCTATTGAGATGTCGCTGAGCGTGCTGCCAGATACTGTCTCAATGTTCGCCAACGCGTTTGTGAGTATGCAGCGCCTCAGCCTCTTCTTCGCGGAGCCCGACCACGTGTCGAGCGTGATGCCGTCCGAGGTGATTGAATTCCGGGAAGCGACACTGGCATGGCCATCGTCCCCAGCGTCCCTTAGCGGCGTGAATCTAAGATTCCCCACGGGTGCATTGAGCATCATCACCGGCGCCACAGGAACGGGGAAGAGTCTCCTCCTGGCCGCCATCCTTGGAGAATCCGATCTACTCGCTGGTACGATTAGCGCCCCGACTCCGCTGTACATCCAGTCTGAGACCGGTCAATACTCGCGTGGCCGGGTAGCATACGTTCCCCAGGCCCCATGGATTGAGCGAGGAACGATCAGAGACAACATTCTGTTTGGAACCCCCTTCAGCGCGGACAGGTACGCGCTGGTCCTGTTTGCCTGCGCCCTGGAAAAGGATCTGGAGCGGTTACCTGCCGGAGACCTCACGGGGATTGGCACTGACGGCGTCAATCTGAGCGGTGGGCAGAGATGGCGGGTGAGCCTTGCGCGGGCACTGTACAGTCCCGCGCAGACCCTCCTGCTAGACGATTTCTTCAGCGCCGTGGATGTGCATACGCGGGCCCACCTGCATCGTCATGCGCTGATGGGAGAGATCGCCCGCGGGAGGACCCGGATTCTTGTGACGCATCATGTCGATGTTTGCCTGTCCTCGGCGGAATATCTGGTGTCTCTGGGCAATGGCACTGCGGTTGCGATGTCGGTGGAGGATGCTCGACGGGAGCAATTGGGCAAGGTGCACCCTGTGGTGACCGTTGATAATGAGGGCCTGCAGGAACCTGAGCCTCAGATAGAACATATTCAGGCTTCTCGTAGAGATGACGAGGAAACCGCAGGATTGAGCTGGGACGCACTTCAGGCATACGCGGCCCGAGGAGGTTCACCATTCTTCTGGGTTCTGGTAATCGTGTCCTTTGTCGGCTATAGCGGACTCTTGCTGGGTCGGGTGAGCCATAAGCTTTCTTTCTTTTTTTCCCCCCCCTTTTTCCTTTTCTCCCCGCGGTTGTTTAATTCGGTATGGCTGATATTCCTCAGGCCTGGTGCATCAAGCTCTGGACCAGCCGAAATGCCAGCACACCAGAACCCGATCATCTGCAATATTATCTTGCCGTCTACCTTGGGCTATCCCTCATCACTGGCATGGTTGGAATCACCCGCTGCTATCTCATCATCTGCGTTGCCTTTCGAGCTTCCCAGCGCCTGTTCAATCAGATGCTCCATACAATCCTCCGCGCCCCGCTGCAATGGCACGCTGCCGTCCCCTCTGGCCGCATTCTGGCCCGGTTCTCCTCTGATGTGAGCGTGATCGATTCCCGGCTGGCAAGAGACCTGCGCAACACCCTCGACCGCGTCGCCGATGTCGCCATGGCCCTTGCGGCAGGGTCCTTCGTGAGCCCCCTCGTCCTACTCGTCGCAGCTGCATTGGTCCTTCTGTATCATCGCTTCGCACACACCTACTTGCGCGCATCTCGCATGCTTAATCGCCTCACCAGCGCCGCTAAAGGCCCCATCTACGGCCACTTCGATGCCTGTCTGGCCGGACTCCCCGTCATCCGTGCCTTCGGCCGCGTCGATGCCTACCGCCAGTCATTCCTCGACAAGGTCGACGACCACAGCCGGGCATACTTCTCTCTCCGCCTGCTCAACCGCTGGCTGGGTTTCCGCATCAACATGATCGGCGCGGGATTCTCCGCCGCCTCCGCCGCGTTGATTGTCTCACTGCGCGACGTCGATGCCGGCACCGCCGGGTTCGCGCTCAGCTTCACCATGCAGATCTCCGCCTCCATCGGGCTGGTCATCCGCTACTACGCCTTCCTCGAACAGGATATGAATAGCGTGGAGCGGGTGCGAGAGTACGCGCGGCTCGAGACGGAGCGGTACGAAGGCCGCGATGCGCCCGCCAGCTGGCCCACCCGGGGTCGTATCGAGGTCTCCGATCTGGCTGTGCGACACGCGCCGCACCTACCTTCCGTGCTGCAGGGCATCACTTTCCGGGTGGAGGAGGGCGAGCGAGTGGCTGTGGTAGGCCGCACGGGTGCCGGCAAGTCCTCGCTTGTTCTGGCGCTGTTTCGGATCCTTGAAGCGGCACAGGGTCAGATCTTGGTGGATGGCATTGATATCTCGCAGCTGAAACTCCAGATGCTCCGCGGTAGGATTGCAGTTATTCCGCAGGATCCGGCGATCTTCCGCGGGACGATCCGTTCGAATCTGGACCCGTTCGACGAGCACGAGGAGAGCGAGCTCCTTGAGGCGCTGGAAAGCGTCCGGTGGACGCTTGACGCTCCGGACGCATCCGGTGAGCGTTCGCCTCTGGATCGCCTGGTGGCGGCCGGGGGGAGCAACCTCTCGCAGGGCCAGCGCCAGCTGCTCTGTATCGCGCGGGAGATCGTCTGGCGACCCAAGGTCTTGGTGCTGGATGAGGCGACGTCGGCGGTGGACAAGCAGAGTGACCGGCTGATCCAGCAGTGCGTCCGGACGGTCTTTGGGGGCGGCTCTACCACGCTGCTGGTCGTTGCGCATAGGCTGAGCACGGTGGCTGATTTTGATCGGATCCTGGTGCTGGATGCTGGCAGGGCGGTTGAGTTTGGGACTCCGCTGGAGCTGATGGAAAGGGAGAATGGGATCTTTCGGGAGATGGTCGAGCAGGATCAAGAGAGAGTCGTACTGAAGGAAATGATTGCCAGAGGGAGATGATTGTATATTACATATTCTCGAGTTCATTGTATTATTTTCTCTACTGCCACCCCGAGGTTACTATATTCTACACTGGAAGGACCTCAGTTCAGCTTATTGAACTGTGTTCTACTGATCCAACTTTATCGTCTGATAGCTGACCACAATTTCTTACGTAGGTCATTCTGATGCACCATCGAAAGTCAAACGAGTTCAAGGCAGAAGTACCAATGAGGACAATGGCTCATGCAGGAACCGGGTTCTCCTCTGGTTGACCCCGGTGGTTACTTTCTAGGAAGTGCATGATGGTGGTACCTTGCGAGTCGACGTGCTTCGGTAAAATACATCGACAAATACAAATACTCTAGTGTGGTATTCAGGCACTAGTAACAGATACAAATACAATAGTTCGTTCACGCTAGACGAGTCAAATGAGCTACAGTATATCCCCCACAGGACCATCTTGGGTAAAGAAGGCGACTGGCTCAGAGAAGTTCCATGTACAATGAAGATCTTATCCATGTCCGTCAGAGCTAAATAATCATGGTCTTGGTAGATACAGGTCAGGAGCAGATCGATCGCCGCCCCTCGGAGTGGATAGAATGGCCTGTGCGATACTCCATATGTCATGCCATACGAAGTAAATTTTGCATTATGCAATATCCGGTGGTCTTGATATGAAGTTGCCCTCTGCAGCAGCCGAGGAAGTTCATCTAGAACAACTCTCTTGGTGCTTCCTGTGACCAAAAAGTTAGGATGGCACAATCCAACACAATTTGGGCCATTTCTGGCCACCACACCATCAGCGTAGATACTTTCCAAACCTTGTCGAATCGAGCACCCGGACTCCTTCTCGGAGCATTGCTTTTCTATCTCTTCTACAAGTACACCAGACGGATCTACTTCCACCCATTGAGCGGCATTCCTGGGCCTCGTCTGGCGGCGGCGACTCATCTGTACGAAGCCTACTATAACATTCTGCGGCAAGGATTGTCCAAGCGTGCCATTCAATTGCACAGAACATACAGTTAGTGTTTAGCCCGGATATTGTGACCCTCGCTAACTATATCAGATTCCCCAGTTATCCGGATCGGGACCAATCGTGTCCACGTGGGTGATCCCAACTACTATCATACGTATATGCCAATCCTTCAACCCTAATATCAGGACATCAATTGACCAAGGCTAGAATCTACAACTCAGGCAGCGACTACTGCAAAGACCCTGGCGTCTACAAGTTGCTCGGCATCGATGGATCGATCCTTACCATCACCGATCCCGAGGAGCACAAGCAATACCGCAGCATCGTCAGTTCCTTGTTCTCCCGGAAGACGGCCGATGACCTTGCCCCGATGATAGCGGCGTTGCTGAACAAGTCGGCCGAGTCGATGGCGCTTCAGGGGAGAGATGGCAACCCTTCCGTCATCCAACGCGTCTACCGGTCACTCGCGGTAAGACAGCGCATCCCTGGCTGGACTGAAATCCTTCTGACCGGCTGGATCCTCACAGGCGGATATGGTGTCGTATCTGCTATTCAATCGGCCGCTGGGTTTGATCGACTCACCCCAGGATGCGGATCACTACCACTCATTTATGTTGAGCATTGACCGGTTTACTGCCATAACCTGGCCGAGTAAGCTAGCAATTCCTGTGCCACGGAGAGGTCGCTGACTGCAACACTCAGGAATCTACTACCCTGTTTTGAACTGGGTCATTGATTCCTTTCCTACCTTTGTGGTGGAGAGACTTCAACCAGGACTGAGGAACTTACAGGAGGTCGGTCTCCGCCATGTCGCTGAGTTCACTACCATCTGACTTTTCCAGCTCTTTAAACAATGGCTAGACGAGTGCATCGCCGCACACGACGCGGGAAAGCCCGTTGAAAGCCGCAGCACCTACTTCGACTTGATGATTGAAGCGAAACGTAAGACCGGCGAGCCGCTCCGCCCGGACCAACTCTTCGACGATATCCTGAATTACCTCGTGGCCGGCATGGAGGCGACCAGCTACGTGCTCTCCTTCGGGACATACTTCTTGCTCAACAAGCCAGATGCGAAGGCAAAGCTGGAGGCAGAGCTGCGGGAGGCGAGCCCCTTCATTCGCGAGGAATTCGACCATCGCAGGATCATGGCGTTGCCTTATCTGGTATGTTCCCTTGGCCGGATCATTTTCTCAATCACAATCTGAATTCTTCCAGACGGCAGTGGTGAAAGAGTGTCTCCGGTTGAGTAATACCGTGCCGGGCTTCCTTCCGAGGATCGTTCCAAAGGGTGGAGTGGATATCGGCGGTTACCACATTCCCGGTGGGGTAAGTAAAATATATTCCGTTAATGGAGGACGAAAATCTGACATGAGGTCCAATAGACTCAGATATCGATGATCCATCCTGTCGTCGAACTGAACGAAGAGATTTTCCCGAACCCGCACGAATTCATCCCCGAGCGCTGGCTGGGCGACAACGGCCACGATCTGGGAAAGTGGGCGATTGCATTCAGCAAGGGAAGAAGGCAATGCATCGGCACAAAGTATGTATTTCTTGAAATCCCCAGTGAACTTTTAAGCTAAACAGGGTGTTTAGTTTGGCGTATATGATGCTGTATACGTCCATTGCCGTGGTATTTTCCCGGCTCGAGATGGAGCTGTACGAGACGACAGCGGCGGATATGGAGATCATTGACCAGTTTGCGCCAATCATCCAGGGCGTGGTCAAGGTGACGATCACCAAGGATCGCTGGAGGGAATAGCTGGAGGGGACAGGCACGACATAGGAGGGGCAGGAATAGGATACTCTCTGTATTGCGTGGTGCCCTGCCTTACGAAACAGTATTTTGAATTTGCAATTTACTAGCTGTCATTTACCCATGTTTTGGATGCGATCTGCATCTCCACCGTCCGGTCACTCCCGTGTCCACTTCCACGGCACAGACGGGGCTAAGACCTGTAAATCTGGGAAATTTAGTCCATCTGCCAAGAGGAACTATGTATTACATTCCTGCATAGGTGGAACAGGCGGAGTACAAGTGTTCCTGCAAGCCACAGTCACAAAATCGCGCAGCCCGCCAGTCTCGAATGGGCCATGCAGGTGCCGCTTGGTGTTTAGGAGCAAACTACAGTGTCAGTTAATTCCAGCTAGAGCTCACCTCATCAGGTCATCGAGGTTCTCAATCTTCATAGAGCTTCCGTAAATCCCGTGACAGCCCCAGCAGCATCTGACTGAAAATGACTGTGCCGCCGGTACGCGAACGAGCCTCGTTCGAGGTAACCAAACGCCTTCTCTGTCAGATTCTGAACGAAGGTCTGGTCAGCGGGACGTTAGAGACATTCGAGCCCGAAGGCCCGTACCTGTGTCTGTTCAGCAACGGCTGCGTCACAGAGAAGCCAGGAAAATGCATCCGTGTCCGACTCCAGCCCAGCGCGCGGGCTGGGATCTTCATCCGCTCAGGGCGCATCGTGTCGCTGGTGCGCCCGGAGATGTTGCAAATGCCCGTCACTCTCGTGGATGGGCCGTTTGAAGGGCGGGAGCTTCGTTCGGGGCCTCTGTTTCAGTTTGCAAGTAGCCTGTTCACGGAGCATGTCGAGGCGACAACGTTGGAAGAGATAGCGTCGGGATTGGAGAATAGTGAGGCGAATACAGGTTCGCACAGACTCTCCTGTCTCCCTCTCCTAAGTGATACTGATAAAATGCGCAGAAAAGTGGCTGGAACTGCACTCCTCGCCTGAGCCATTACACCTCAACTCGCCGTCAATCATGTGGGAACGGGCGCTGATCTGGGGACACCCGACGCATCCGGTATGTGGTCTCCCCTCTTTGATGTCGGTCAGCTTGTCTAATCGTCATCAGTTTCACAGACTGTGCTATGCACAGGAAGGCCTAGCTCCAGTTGAACCCAACGACCTGCCCGAGTTCCTCACGCCAACACTGGCCTTCGTATCCGTCTTACGGGCAGAGATCTCCCTCGCAGGCCCATTCGAGGAGTCGCTGCAGCCTCTTCTGGCGCAGCTGGAAGTCCCCCCTCCCGAGAGCGCTGACAGAGTCATTGTCCCCTGTCTCCGTCTCCAACTCCCCTGTGTCTTCCGCCACTTCCCCAGTGCCGTCGTGGTGAAGACAGTTTCCGGCTGCGCAGATACGCAAGCCTCGATGCGCACCCTCACCCTACGTCCAGAACTCAACTTCCCCTATCACATCAAACTGTCCATTGCCTGCCAGATCACTTCGGATGTGCGGGCGATCCGCCCCTGCCAGACCCTCGGGGGCCAGCTGGTCAGGAAGCAGCTGCGCAAATTCTTCCCGCCGGATCTGTGGTGGTTCAAAGAGGTTGCGTCTGTGTCGGGGAGCCAGACGGTGCAGGGAGACACGCAAGAAAACGAAGACAAAGCGCGTCATATCGGCTGTATTCTGCGTGAGGACTTGGAGGCTCGAGCGAACGCGAACAATGAGGCGCTGATCATCGCGGGGTCGCTGGCTCAGCAGCCCGCGAACGATTCCCGGACACACGCGGAGATTGTCTTTGGTCTTGAGACTGTCGAGCAGAAGCATGAGTGGCTCAGAGAGTAAATATTTCTCCTAGAGTGCGATAGAAAAGGAGACTAATATCCGTCCAGGTATGTGGCGGGCTTGTTGCGCGCTGTCCTCCCTTCGCTGGTGCAGTATGGCATCGGGATGGAGGCCCATGGACAAAACACCCTGGTTCGCGTGTGTCGCCAGACCAAAAAAATCACCGGCTTCGTCGTCCGAGACTTCGAAGGCATCAAGGTGCATGTCCCCACACTTGAGAAACTCGGCATAAAGCTGTGCATGACCTCTCCAGGCTGCACGAAAAATCTGGAGAACATCTGGAGCAAGATTCACCATGCCATCTTCCAGAACCACCTGGGGAATCTGGTCTACGCGCTCGGTCTGGACTGCCATGATGGATGGACGATCATCCGGGACGAGCTCACTGGTGCCCTGAAGCCGGACATGGATCCGCGGGCCAAGGAGTTGTATGACTTTATCCTTCAGGATACGATGCCGTTTAAGTGCTTTTTGAGAATGCGGATGAGCGAGCACTTTAATGATGTGAGGTTTCCCAGTATTTGGTATGATCGTGCTGACTTTTTCCTCGGTGTAGTATGACGGCGATGAACAGGATGCACCGGGCGCCAAGGTAACATGTTCTATTCTGTTTAAGTCGAATCATTACTGACAGTCCTTTGCCTAGCGTGACGAGAGACCGCTGCCTAATGCCCTTCTCATGGGTTCTGATAAATGGGAGAAGATCTTGGATGATCATGCACAGAGAATGCGCTGGACTTGAGGATTATCGGCCGCGGCACCTGACTTATAGCTGTTAGACACTGTGTTGACTGCAGTGATGTCACATGTATTCATTCATTCATGTAGCATTTGGAGTGAGTCTGCAACTGCTGAGGGGACAGCGTGACACTCCTGCTGTTAAGTCAATGTTCCCGCTGAACAAGTAGGTTATATGGAATGGAGCGCTGTAGGGTTGGGCGAGGGGTTACATTCGACAACGATCATACCAAGCACTGATTCTGACAGACACTGACTAGCAGTGTGCCACTCAAAGGATAAATCCTTCCTGATCGATCCGTAATGTGCAGCAGAAGATGCCAATAGACTGTCCTCTCTTACGGAGCACTCTCCAGATCATGAATCATGTTTCCATAGATAGGTAATACTAAAGTTACATATAAATGTAAAGGACATTAATTATTTAGTAACTTAAGTAGGAGGATAACTATAAACTTACTGATAACTTACTATAAGCTCTTATAAGTAGAATAATAGCTATATCTATAGCTTCTATAGTCTATCTTTTCTTATACTACCTCTATCTCTGCTCTTATATTTCTTCTTTTATGATATTACGTTCTCTTGTATACTACATCCCTCCTGACCCTTGAACGTTCTAATTTTAGTTTAGAGTACCTTAAGGCTAATAAATAAGTTAGATACTTAAGGTTATAGTCTATAATAAAATAGGATCTTTATCAGAGGCCCTAGGAGCAGTAGGTTATTATAATCATATTATAATATATAGTAGATGGTAGAGTTCTATAAACTTAAATTCTAGCTATAGGAGAAGAGCTATAATTATTTATTATTATTCAAGCTATAGAGTAACAGGGAAGTCAACTATATATATATAGTATAGTCTAGCTATTAGTTAGCCTGTTAATATATAGCAGTGGCTGTCTTCCTGTTTCTCTCAATAACCACAAGTAAGGATATCAGCAGTGTATACAATTGTTCAGGTGCCTGCCAATAGCTGTGAATCATATGAAGTCGTTACCTAGTTTCTTCTTAGGGCCAGTGTGTTTTAATGTATGCATAGAGGTTCTTAAGCAGTAGAAGTAGGGCCTGAAATGTGCTGTGTATTAACAGATACAAACATGGTGTCGATAATATGTAATTGCATGAACATCCCTTGATTGCTGGTGATGTTGTGCTATGAAAGTTTGACTACGGTGTCACCTGCAAAAAAACGACAAGCAGTGCCGCATACCTGATTGATCTGTCAGTAACTCGAAATCTCATATCACAAGCAGGCAGCACTTACGCTGCAGTCGCTCCTAGGGCTTCAAACGGTCGCGCAGTCGTAACGAATGCCGTAAACACAAGAAATGCGAAAATGAAGCAGGTGATGATGATCAATTTATGAACCTTCCCATCCACAAAGGCCAAAGCCCATAGAGGTACCATGACCATTGCCAATCCCAGGACCAACATGGCCCAGGTATACAGCTTAGCTGTCTTCTCTTCATCGAGTAGAATGGTGCCACTGTCAATGTAGCGCATATCATCGCCCGATGGCCGCCGTGCGAGCCAGGTGCGACCTGTAAGGAAAAGTCGCTGCGGTCTTCGACTAACATAGCTGTCATCTCTCTCAGTAACATAAATTAGATCGCTTGTATGGTCAAGATATCCCGTCTCCTCGTCGTGAATAGCGTTCGGCCAGCCTCTCAGCCAATTTTTCACGCTCGTAGTGTCCCTATGGTAAACAGCGCGTCGCTTGGATAGCTGAGAGTACGTAGAAATGTATTCGTCTAGAAAAAATGAGAAGATCATCCCGATGGACATTGCTTATGACTGAGTTTACTGTAAGCCTTGAGTCTTTTCTGCAACTCCCATACTAGCTCCATGCGTTTCGTCGATGTCTCCTGTCGGAAAGACCCATTGTGTTTATCAGGCGCAGAGGGCTGGGCAACCTCCAAGTCCAGCTTGTCTAGTTCAACTTCGAGCTCAATAATGTAGTCCTGCATGGCCAGGAGAACACGAGCATTTAGGGTTCGGAAAAGGCGAACATGAAGGAAATTTGCATGTGAGCCCAAGAATCGTGAGTATTCCCGATAACCAAGATATTTCCATGCCTTCTCATAGGCTGTTTCTCGATCCACAGCACCCACTAGGCCTGACATGATTCCGTAGTAGTCTGCTAGCGAAGCCCAGTCATTTGAAGCTTATCAAAAGTCAAGTAGTAAAGTATGCTCGACAGCTCGATGATGAAGCATCCTTCATAATAAGCAGCTAAATATTAACAGAGGGAACTGAACAAATGCGAGGTCTGCACCACTAGAAAGACGCCACGTTACCATTATCAGTCATCTCCAATCACCTTCCGAGAAAGCTGCAGACGATTGGGTAGTTAGCAACAAGGCTGGAGCTGACTCATACTCAAGAGTGCTGCATTCATATATGCTTGCTGGATGGGTGTGCAGAGTCGAATCCCATCACTGTTGACCTCACTTTCCACCAAATCCTTTCGTTAAATAGCCTTCCTTGTGCCCACTGCAAAATCACCAGAAAGATGTACTGTTTAGCTGATGCGGCGCCAGTTGAAGTCAGTCTTGATGTCATGAAAGTGTGACAGATCTGTGTACGCTAATCATGCATGCTGTAGTTTCTGCGCAGACCTCCGAATCCTCCTCCCACGAAGCCAAAGCCACCGCCAACCGCGGAGCCTGTCATCAGCACAGAAACAAGAGGGAAAGGATGGGAGACTTGATGAGTTCCTGGCCCTATAGACGTTGGGATGCGCAACTTTATCGAACTTCTCCGATCTAAATTCGGGGCGTGTCCGCAGATAAACTTGGTATTCACAAGTACACAAGTCTGATCAATATACTTCCTGCTTGGCTGCTAGTGAGATCAGCTACCATCTAAGCAGTAACCAAGGCGTAAAGCTTGTGTATATTTCCATACCATTAAGGCGGTATCGCATCTCTTTGATTGCCATGTTATGTCTGAAAGAGTGGCCCTAAAAAGAGCGAGAGAACAAAAAATTGTATGAATGGAGCCTTAGGACAGAGTATAGACAGTGCAGTAGTATAACGCACGAATGCAATCTAAGTAGTTAGAGAGAATCCAGAAGATATTGTAACTATCCAACAGCAGTTGTCATCAGCGAGATGTTCTGAGTAAGTACATCTACGAGTCAATAAACAAAGTCCCCTTTCAAACCCAAGAGCAAATTCAGGTGCTTTCTTTTCAGTAATGATGCGACTTCAGCAGCAGTTCAAGGGACGGATTATGACATGAGCTTAGAGGAAATATCGTTGAACAATTTTCTATCGGACCAGTGGTTGACATGGAGTTCCGGGGCAAAGAGTGAGGTGAGATGCAATGTAGTAGGGGTCGTTTAGTGTCCACCCCAATTAAGGATTCAACAGTGTAGCTTCCGGACACCATTATCGCAATCAACTATATCATAGCATGCTGCTMCTCTTCTTCGCTCCTTTTTCCAATCTCGCCACGTCCACGATTGCCCTCTCATGGGTTCCACGTCCTATCTCACCGGCTTCGTCCTTGGCAGTGACTTCGAATTATACAGTTTGCCCTCCTGGCAGAGGAATTTTGCTTCGACTGTAACTTTGGCACCAACGGGCGTGGGCGCCGAGTGTGTCACATTGATGCTGGTACCGACGGACAGTTGGTCGAGGTTGAGACAAGGTTGAGGAACTCGTGCGGCGCGGCAATTTCCATGAACGCAATCATGCGGGATGTTGCGAGAACACGAGGAAATTTGTCAACTTCCGCGTCAGAGGATATACCACTTGCAAGGTCAGACGGTTGAACAATCCCCCCCGGCCGATATCAAACAGTAGTGTTCCCCCGAATCCGAGGTGGTGCACATGATGGGGACTGGATTTTCAAGGCCACAGCGCTTTGCATACTTTGCCATTCTCCTTTAACTAGATATGACGTGAAACCGGGGTCGGTAGTCCATCCTTCAGGGACTTCTCAAAGCTAGAGCATATTAGCCTAGATAGTATGACCTAAGAAAATGAAATCATAACTTACAGTTGAAGAGCTGCTCATGGTTGCGAGGTAGTAATCATTAGAGGTAGAGGTGAAGTAGAAAAGAAAGAGGGAAATAATTAAGTGATGAAATATGGATAGGTGACAGTGACATGGTGATGTGGTGACGGTGCTAATATGAGCACTCGAGTCAAATGACACTCATATCATTCACAATCAAAGCCCTAACACAGTATGATGGAGTCCATGATCCAGTATGTCTATAGAAAGATACGCCCTCCATTAATCATTACATCATGGGAACTGCACTAAAGGGACAACTTAATATTATATAATAAATACTGAATAAAGCATATTTGTATAGAAAGCTTAACTATGGACACATAACCAAAGCTTACAAGACATTAAGATCACTAAACCTGTTACATAGTTTCCCTGCTTAAAGTTCGATATACATTTATATTCATTCCCATTCTGTATAGATATCCTACAGTGTGGTTTTCTCATCCTCCGAAGAATTTCCTGGTATTTGAGTCATGAGACAACTTCAAAGACTTGGTCCATAGGCCTACTTCTCCTCATGAGATGTATTCTTCCTCAAATCCAGTAGTTAGGGAATGCTAAGGAGCAGTGAATAACTATATGGGTAATTCTTGCAGGGAATTTGTTGGATTCACCATATACACTGTCTAAGTAGTATATTCACCATGTAGTATCCTTTTTGCCAGTCAACACTTTCTCGCTTTTCTGCTGAGCATTACTTACAACTCCACCTCTCCACCGACATCAACAACACTTCCCCGCGGCTCCAGTAATTCTGGTTGATCTCACACATTGTCTGTTGTCTTTGCTGAACCGCCAAATTCTCTATACCTCCTTTTGCGATTATGGCCTAGCCGAGAGAACGGACGCGAAAGGCCATCGGTAGACAGCTGAATTTGAGGATTGGGTACCAGTTTTCCATGCAACAAGTACAGAAAACAGCCATACCATTTGCAGGAATTTGGGAGCTTACTAACTATGAAATAGATCAACAACTCTCTAGACAATATTCAGGCGCATCCTATCACGTTCGGCGCAGCCCCTGACGGCAGTCACTACCGTGATGCCTCGTTGTGGCCTCGCCAACACGCCCAAAGGTTTTTGCCTCCAAACTGGCCAAGCCAGTATATAGCGAAGTTCCAACTCAATAAATCCCCGTTCAAGAATGTTGAGTTCTGGTTCGTGGCAGACATGCTGGGGCTGTTGCTGGGCCTTCTCGGACCAGCGCAAGCTTGCGCTACAAAGCGCATTTCTATCTGCCACTCACAGCAATGTTCGGCAAATGGTGCCAGCGACTTTCTTCGGCATGCCCCCACAGAGTATTTCAATGTACTTGGAGTACTGCGAGAGACGGCAGGTACTCCCTGGAGCTAGTATGTCTGGATACAACGCGGAGAAGACCAGAACTGGGTCGTGGCTAGCAGTGCTCAACCGGGCAAGATTCTCGGTGATTTCAACAGAGCGCGTTAGACTCAGTGGTTGGTCGCAAGCCTGGTCACCATCCATTCGCAGGCGTGGGGGGATCGTGGCACACCCTTTGGACGGTGTGGGGAGACGTATCCTCTCCGTCGGAATGCTCAGGTTTGCATAATATATCCTCGTCACTAGAGACTTTACTAACTTAGATTAGGGATGCGGCCGAAAAGAGCGCCATACACGGCTTGACATTGTCTGGGCGTGGATTGGGGCAACCGACACCTATGATGACCACCTCTCCGGTCCTGTGAGGAGAAACACGTGGCACCCTTGCTCTAACAGCAAGGCATTAATGGAGACTATGGGAGGTTCGGTTGCAAATTTCAACAAGTAGGATGGTCGGCAGGGAGGAAACGAGGACAAAATCCGCTCGCTATCAGCCTCCAGACGCCCAACCAAATGCTGCGGGTTACGCGAGGAGCCAAATTCGATGGCGTGCCACTCAACGGACAAATATTCTTGATCAATTCATAAGGTGCTGTAGAAGATACCAATACATTATCCTCTCTTACGGAGTACTCTGCGGATCATAAACATACCTCCCCATCCATAGCTAGAAATCTTTTACTCTAGTCTCACAGAGGCAGCCTATATGAACCGTGACTGCGTCATGCCATCATCCTCCAGACCACTGGCCTACTTCCAACTAGGCTCACTGAACACATGACTGAAAGGCAGCGACGTCCCAAGATTCGGGCTCCCATCGCTATGCGCGCTAACCTGCTGGACCATCGTGTACCGGGAATTATCACAAGCACCAGCGCTATTATTCGTCGCGTGGTACGCGATCCACGTCTGCGTGGCATCCGGGCTCTGGAAGAAGGAGTTGTGGCCCGTGCCATAGTTTCCGTTCGCCGAGGACAGCACGCAGCCATTATGCTTGGTCCAGGCACTGGCCGACGTGGGGTTGGTCTTCCCGTCCCAGGTCAACAGACCGAGGCAGTAATACGAAGTCCAGCAGTACGAGGCCGAGTAGGTGATGTATGTGACCCCGTTGAAGTAGAGTGCGACGGGCCCTTCGTTGACGGGTGTGCCGTGCTTCTCGAAATCCATGGTGGGCTGCGAGATGACGTAGATGTCGCCTGTGAGGGAGACATAGTCAGCGCCCAGCTGCTGCAGGCAAATGGACTGGTAGGTTACGCCGTGGAAGCAGGAGAACATGAGGAAGTTGCCGTATGCGTTGGTACGGAGGACGGAGGCGTCGATGGACCATTCGGTTGTTAATTGGCCGGTGTAGGTGAATGTGTCCCAGGGGGTGGAGCCGCCTGACTTGTCAGATTTGCGGACGGGAAAAGGGTCTATGGTGGCTTACCGGTCAGGACGTGAAGCCGTTGGCCGCCCAGATCAGTCGTTTCGCCGGCCGTGTAGTAGATGTACCACTTGCCGCCGAGGTAGTGGACCTCGGGAGCCCAGACGTTGCAGCATCGTGAGGCAGTCGAGGTAGAGTAGACCACTTTCTTTTGAGCGGTCTTGAGACCCTCGATGGTAGTTGCGCGTGTCATCTCCACATCTGTCCATGTTGTTGTCATCAGGTAATAGTAGCCGCCAGTATACACCATGAACGGATCACTTCCTCCCGGGTTGCGTATGGGGTTTGTGAACGCAGAAGTAGCGGGAATTAGAGCTAGGAGCCCTACAAGGG